CGATATGCACGCGGCGTGTCGGCGCATTGCGTGTAGCACGCGAGTTTCCAACAATGCAGTACCAGGCTAGTAAGTTTCTACTAGACCGAATTTTTTTGTCCGATGTAAGAAGGGGGGGAAAATTGAGAAAAAAGAAAGCTTTTAGACATAAATTTTTTCTTTACGCTTACGTCAAGTTGTAGGTCGCACGAAACTACCACTCCTCGTGCTTTTATCTCGATTCGAATTCGGACCATGTTACCTCTCTCTGACGCGTAATACGAGCGGGGTTTCCCCATTTGCATAACAAATTGAAATTTTTTTATTTTTCGCCGGTGCGCCCAAGAAAAACAGACCTATTGGAGCATTCTAACGAGGAACATAGCGCAGCTGTAAAGTTCACGTCCGTCGCGGCGGGTCAGCGCAATGTGCCGTCATCCGATGATTAATGACTCGCGCTTTCTTGCCCGCTCGCTTTTAACGCGCTGACACTGACATTATGTCCCGAAGAAAGCCTGGCGAGCGCCCAAAATACTTCCGAACGTGCTTTATGACACGGATTTGGAAACACTAGGCGGCTAAATTTGTTCGCTCGCGTACGCGAGGCAGGTTGTGGAGTATCGAGCCGCGTTCTCGAGTGTCCTCACGAACCGTTTCGATCGGCATAAATCATCCGGATGACTAGGCGCACGTGTAAGGACTTTGCGGATATTCCACGAAATCGTTGTAAAGAGATTGCGGAAAATGATAATCGTATTATGTAATTGCATCGCGTATCTTTGTGGCGAATCAATCTTATTTCAGCGCGGAATGTTTTGAATTTTAATCTTCAAAAATCAAATTGACCGCTTAATTAATAATTCAATTATTTTTACATCAAGATTCGTGCTTTAAGCAAATAATGGATTCTGCGTCGATAAGAAAATTTCGATAAAAAGCTTGGGATAAGAGTGAAATTAGAATATTTAAATGTGTTTTAAGTAAGGTATACGTGTGACGCTATCTTTTATAACTTATATTAAAATATTTTTTTATACAAAAATCAGTATGCTTGAGCACGAGGCGTGGCAATGAGCGGATAAAGGCGCGGAAATAGCACGAAACGTGCGTACTTGAGCTTATTAGATAAACGAGAAACGTACGCGATTTAAGTGACTCGGTTAATTCGCATGCATCTGTGCCTCTTACGATGTAATACGCGTATGCAAATTTCGCGTTTCTATCTCCCACTTGCGCCGTATATAGCTGGCTGCGTAATAGATTTCGCCGCAGCTATATCGGCGATCATATTAAGGTATCAAAGTTGGAGTGCAGGTAATATCAAATATTACATATCCTTTCCTATGTGCCTTACAAGGATTGAGAAAATCGCGGTACGTTAATGCGAAATGACGCGTGACACGTGTATGCAAATCATATCAATTTTGTTCGAAATTTAAAAGAATTAATAAACGAATAATAAAAAATCTGACGAATATATACAATCAAAAATATTGTATCACTCCCAAAAAATACCGAAAATGAACGATTAAATTTTTCACCTGTTTTTTTAGCTGTTTTATTCATGTTCAAAATGATTAAAGCATAAAATATTAATAATAAATTATAATTTGATAATATTTATATATATTTGTCTTTATTAAACTAATAACTTCTCTCTTTCTGCATGTGATGCAATACTTTTGACAGTACTGTATATGCACATGTGTATGTGTGTACGTATTCACCAAATATTTGGTACCGTTTGTTTATTATCTGCTTCAAAGTTTGATCAAAAATCGATAGAATTTATTTACATGTGTTAAACATTTCAGTTTCTCGTTAATAATCTCGTTTATATCCTGTTTTATTTCAAAACTCTTTTGAAATAGAAATCAAAGTATTTCTTTACCGATAATTAATCATTTTTCTAACATGTCAGTGTCAATTAATGTCAGATTGAATTCTTATTATTTTGAAAATTTAAAGTTGTGATTCGATGATCGATATATATATCTTACGCTTCATTATTGTCTCATTCCACACATCCTGTGATATCGATAGGAAAAAGAATATCCTACTTTTTATAACGCTTAACGTTCATTTCTCGATATATTTTATCATTTCGCGATTCTGTCGTGTATGGTACATGAGATTCCTGGTCGATTCTGATCGTCCCAGTGTCGGGTATTAAGTGGACACGCTATCGCTTATCAGCATCTATCGCTGATAAGAACGATCAACCAAGTCAAGTAATGTACGGTCTTGGACGCTTATCGCGATCGGACCGTTCGAGAAGGATTCAGTCTATCGCAACCGACCGTCGTCCACGCAACTTTTCGGGTATCGCTTCTCTCTTTCTCGTTATTTCGCGTCCACGTGTTTTTCTTTTCTTTTATTTTCCTCGAGATCGATGCTCCCGTAAAGAGAACGATGCGACGAATGAGAGCTTTCGTCTGTGTCGCTCTTCGCCAAGACTTTATCGCTCTATAAATCTGCTGCGTGACTTATGTTGTGTAGGTGTGTGTGTGTGTGTGTGGCATTATCACGTGTGTGACAATTCATTGATAACGCATGGTTACGATCGGCGTTCGAAATTTACGGGTTCTTTAGCCCCTTTCCATTATTAAGTATCATAGTTGTAGTGAAATTTGAAGTATTATTTGTCAAAATGTTGCAGAAAAATTCAAAAGTCGAGAGTCTATAGACTTTTCCGCAGTTTGGAGAAGAAACTTTAGGAAATGTGAAACACCCATTATAATGGCGTCGGATCTATAAATCTCCTTACTTTTTGCGTTCGGTTCCGCTCGTTCACGATTTATGACTTTTATTTCCTTCCAATTGAAAAACATCGTTGGTGCTTGTCGATCGTTCGACAAGTTCTCTTCAATATCATTCAACGAATTGGTCATATATATTGATGAACGATCGGAAATTTCAGTCGATTTGCGCCGTTAACTGACCAATCAGTTTCCAGTTTGTAAAGATAATGTTATTGAAAACTTGTCACTTTCAATTCTTCTCTCTCACTAACTCATTGATAATGTTCTCTTCAATAAAACCTCGTTTATTTTTAGATATTCAATAATTAAGAGACTAAATCGTTATCTCGTTTTTCCATCATATGATGTATCAAAGCAAAGGAATTACGAATCAGCTGATAGAAATTATGAAAATAAATCTCGCTGCAAACTCTTTATTTAGAATTTGCAATCTCTAAGATAATTAAAAATTATACCTTTTAATCTCACAAATCATCAACAATCATCGATGTATCTAAATTTTTAGATATTCAATAATTAAGAGGAAATCGTTATCTCGTTTTTCCATCATATGATGTACCAAAGCAAAGGAATTACGAATCAGCTGATAGAAATTATGAAAATAAATCTCGCTGCAAACCCTTTATTTAGAATTTGCAATCTCTAAGATAATTAAAAATTATACCTTTTAATCTCACAAATCATCAACAATCATCGATGTATCTAAAAATTACAATTACCAGCAATATTTTGTAACGAGAAAAAAAGTTGCGTGTTTGTATTAATATCGAAAGGTAAATTTATATATCTAGACTGTGTACACTTTAATTATTAAATCCAGACGAGGATCGATAAATTTATTATACGCTCCTATATGATCAGGCTCAATCTGATCGCCTCGCGATCGTATTCGCGCGATAATCGGTCGATCGTCCGAAGCATTAATTAACAGTGCGGATAATATTATTAGCGTAACGATTTATCGGTCGGCCATTCCCTCGTCGAGTCTTTCAAATTGCCAATAAGCTTTTCGTTGGAAGATATACTAGAAACGGCCCGCTTCATTTCCCATTGGCGAAACGGCTTCCCGACCCTTTCCGTCGACATTATACAGAACTCGGTCGGGGATGGGAGTCGCTTTACCCCTTTTCAGACTTGGTCTCGATTCGATCTCGGAGCAAATTTCCGCCCGGCTATTCCACCCCGGAGAACGAACAGAAAAGCCGTAAAGCGCAAAAATTCGACGCGTCGGTAGTTTGTTCGCGTTCCCTTATCCCGTTGGCCATTTTATCCGAACGAAAACACGAACACACATTCACGAGGGAAAGGAAAATCGATATTTAAACAGTTTCGCATTTCGCATTTTAAGGAATTCTTATAATAATATTTTAGCATTTTCGTGCGGTAATAAATTATAATATTTCTGTAAAAATATTTTTCCGATAAGATTGGCTTTACGACGATTGTTCGATTGATTCAAATGTTGATTTTCGATAAATTTTTCCATAAATTTCATAGAGTCGACTTTAAACGCTGATGGAATATTTCCCACCTTGCCGCTACCGGGTTAAGCCGGATCAAGGCGGAATTCACAAGATACTCGTATAAGTACGCGTGTCCTTATCGTCGTCTTAGAGCTGTACGCGAAATGATATATAACTCTTTGCTCGATATCTCGGCATGCCCTCGATCGTTTTGCCTGATAAAAATAGGAAACTTGATATTCAAAAACCATGTTTTTTTTTTATACAACTTATTATATACGTCTTCAATAAATTTAATATCGACCAATATCTCGCCTATATACATTTGTTGATGCTTGGACTTGGCAATAAAAATACGATCTATATCTCTGATATGAAATACTCGAGTGACAAAAATTGTACATGAAACGTTATATCATATTTTATTATCGAAGGACATCATTTTCGTTCTAACAAATAATCAGACGATTTTTTTATACGATATATCGTCGAAATTTTCCGATACGCTGACGCATCTAGCTTGATGACAATTCTGCTCTATTGGAGTATCATTATATAAGACATTTGAATCACGTACATATATATATATATATATATATATATATATATATATAAGCACACATACATACATATTTACAATTCCCCGAGCTTTACCCAGCCATCATCTACTCCCACTAAACTGCGGTAATCCACGAGATTGAGAATCTCCTTGTATATCTATCTGCTTTATTGCCTGCAACGAGTGCAAAAAGAGCCAACGTCATCGTTCAACAAAGCTTTATTTCCCCGTCTACAGAAAAGCCTATACACGTGTACTCGCTTGTTCGCTTATCGATACATGTGATTGTAAATCGAAGAAAGATTGTGAAACGAGGATCGGTCGATTGGGTTCTCGTGTTTCGTTCTTGGTTTCTGGGTTCTGTGTGATCACGTGTGTGTTCAATGATAATCGTCGCGGTGCTCTCGACACCTTCAAACGAGAAACATATACGCATCTTCTTCCTGACAGAAACTATAAACCACCTCTCGAGCGCAACATCCTCGGCCGATTTGACTGTTGAATCGATGTTGAAGACTTGTCAGTTTGATCGACACGATTATCCGTCACGAGCGATCGTCGAGCGCGACGAGATCGAGGAGGAGACTTTAAAGAGGAGCGGCAACGTTTGTCTTGGCGCCCACGTGAGAGACAATCATGGACGATCGGGAGAGTCCGTTTGTGCGAGCGCAGGCCAGCAGGAGCCTGATTCGGCCGCAAGCGCGAAAATTAGCGTGTCTGTCGCCGTCGTCCGCGACGCGTCAGATGACGAATCGATCGCCGATCGTGAACCGCGAGCCGATGAGCCCGATAGTCGGTGGCACGCCGCCGAAACGCTTGTCGGCCTCGCACGCGCCCTTGGAGAGTCTGAAGCAGTGGGAGCTGGTGGAGGACGACAGGGGTCTGCAGGTGGTCGAGAAACGCACCGGCGTCCCGAGTCCCATCAGGCCCAAGGAGACAGTTCCTGGCGTTGCGAGCCCGCTTTACGATCGCTCCACCCCCGTTTCCGGACGCAGGTTCCTCGCTGGCACCAACATGGACGCGAATCTGGAGGAGAAGCTGCGGGTCTTCAATCAGTCCAAGATCATTCAGCCGATCGGGCTGCCGTTCGCCCAACAGGAATTGGCGTTGACGGAGACCGAAGCCTCCCAGCCGCTCAGTCTCGATCTGATTCTGAAGCAGCAACAGCAACGTATCCCGAGCACGATCGAGAGCACCGATATGCTGCAGCGTTTGGAACAGCAAGTCAAGGCCATCGAGATGAGCACAATGGCCGCGAGGACGACGCGTCAGCTGGAGAACAGCTCGGATTTCGGGCCAGAAGTGCAGCTAAGGTACCGGGAGCACGAGGACCTGCTGCGAAACGTCACCGACGACGAGGCCGAGGGGTAAAAATACATACACTCTGTCTACATTGTTTATCCTCGCGGCACCCATTGTTGATATTTCTTTCGCGACAGGCATCTTATCCACGCGTCTCGAACTTTTTGCTTCTCTCTTCTTTTCGCTTCGATGATAGCGTTGGTGGATATTCAAGATTGCGAACCTCTCTTTAAAAATTAAATTGCGAAATTGGATATTTTTGTAGATTATTTCTTTGAATCTTTTTGCCGTCGAGAAACGATAGAAGTTCTGGGAGAGAACAAAAATCTCAATAACAACTTTATAAAAAAGTTCAAGAGACTCGAAAGATCAATTGGTTTGAAAATTTAATGTCGTTCACCCACGCGACTATTTTCAATCTCTGTTAATCGACATCGGGAAGTTTGGCATTTCAATCGGTCAATATCCGAGAACGCACACGTACACAATACACACAGACACACACACACAGTCGTACGATCCGTTACCACATTTGTACGGAACGACGATAGCCTTAGTGATAATTGAGGAAATCGTTGTCCAACCTCCGCCTAATCCACCTCCTCGTCCTGCCCGATCATCCACTACACTCTTGATCCGCACAATTGACTGTGTTCAGGCTTACGCCCACGCGTGTCCCTTTCTTCGATACAATTGGCATTTAATTTACGCAACGTCGCAACCGCGCGCGATTTGCTCCGTGATTTCCCGTCGCCCGGTTCGTCGCCATTCATTACACGCCCAACCGGGAGAGATCGGGGGAGCAGAGCAGAGCAGAATGACAGAATGACATGTTTCGATGAATAAATATACCGGGTGTCCCCCGGACAAATTTACACAAAGTTACGCGCAAGTTTTTACAGTTCGCAATCTCGATTCTGCTTCGAGATTTCAACAATTTTTATTAAAAATTGTGAACGATTAAAAGGTATCGATGCGAGCTTTTCTCACGCGAATTATATCTCTACTAATTGCAAACAGATAACAAAATATTGTTCTCCGGTTTCTTTCGATTAGACTTTTTATCTTAACAATACTTTAATTAAAGATTCGGATAAGATTTAACGTTGAAGACAAGGGAGATTGAATCGTATTTCCGGTTTCAGTGCAAGTTTAAACGGAAGACACATCATTCTGCTTTTCCGATCTCGATTCATACGCGTTATCTATCAATATTATATGCGAATTAAAACAGACGCGCGTCCATTTATTAATAATTAAATCACAAATGCATTAACCCGAAAACATGGAGCGATGAAGGGGAGAAATGTCATGATGAATGAAATCATAATGAAACGCAAAAGGGCCTCGCCGTTGCAACGTGGAGATGCGACGCGGAATTCCACCGGAAATGCCGGAATCACGCCAAAGAAGCCCGCCGTTAAGTTGTCCAGGACCGCCTCGGACACGCGGCGCGGACAGGAAGCGGAAATGAGAGCACAGGCCAGGATGCCGCAGACTCGCGCGCTCGTTCGGCCGATAGTTCCCAAGAGGGATCATCAGCAGCGTCATCAGCAACAGCAACAGCAGAACAATGCGGCGACCAGCATCCCGCTCAGGCCGTTGTCAGACATCATGCAGAAGAGTATTCAAAGCGAGAAGGAGGTAGATATAAATATATAATACGTACATAGGTATCGCATTGAGGCGTTAAACACCCACGTCGAGTGATTATCAGAGGCTATCGGCGTTTTGTCGATAAGACAAGTTTTTTTTATCTAATTTTATCCAACTTTCCTAGAGATGGGGAAAAAGATTTCTATCATTCTCCGATTAATCGTACAACAATTAAAATATATATATTAATATTAAACGGTTAAAAATTTAATAAAATTTTTAACCGCTTAATATAATATTTATTGAATAATATAATATATAATATTTTAAAAATATTATATATTATATAATATTTCTTAATTAATATAATTAATATAATATTTTTTAATATAATATAATATAATATTTTAATATAATATTTTAAAAATTTTATTAAATTTTATTAAAAAATGATCGGACAGATATAGATAACCATCACAAGATAGTCACTAGATAAAATCTTAAATAAGGAAAAGAGACATTTAAAAACGATGCATCGTGAACTTTATGATCATCCGTATATATTGCGTACATATATATATATATATATATATATATATATATATATATATATCGACGACGTGGCACCCTCGCTAACGAATGCCGGCTACAACGAGCGGTAACGTAAATGCATCTTCACGCTTACGTCACACGTATGACTCGTCATCGTCGGTGTAGTCTACTGCTCATCCGTTCGGCCTGAAATAATCCGGACGGTTTCGTCGAATCGTGAGGCCGATCGTAATACCTGTCGAAGCCAATTAATTTTCAGAGAAAACACTTGATGTTTTGAAAGATATTTTTCCTCCTTTTTTCTAAGAAATCATCAATTATCAGCAGAAAGTGTACGATCCCTTACAAACTTGCTAAAATGTATTTGTATTTTCGTAAAAAACATATAAATTAAAGGAAAATTCAAGAAAAAAAAATATATATTTTGAAAATATTTCAATTCTTTTATCAAATTTGCTTGAATTAATTAATACTATTTTAATATCTCGATAATCATGAGATCGAATATAACTCAACTAATGAAAAACTAAAAATAATTTTTCCGATAGATCTTTTATATACCACGATGTTAAAAAATGGCAAAGATATAATCTTTTAATATCGTCGAATCCAATAAATCAAACGACAGATATATCTGGGACGCGACTTTTATGTTCAGCTTTACGTCGCATTATAAAACAAATTTCACATGCACCCCACGAACGGAAAGCCGGCTTTGTTTGACTTCGTGTAACTTATCATTTCTCATTTCCCTATTGTGTTATGAAGAGAAGCATGAATCATAATTCCCGTAGAATATCCGCGGCATCAGCAGATTCGTCTGTAAATATTTTGCGAATAAAGCTGACGATTACCTCTTGAATCGATTTAAAGTGGATATTCTCTAATGTATTGTTCCACATATAATAAAATATATAGAATTATAATAATACGCGTGATAAATAAAATATAACTGACTTGTGCCAAGATCAATTTATTTGTGATATATACAATAATGATTGTATCTTTATTGCAATTAGATTGATTTGCTGATATTTTTATTTTATTCGCGATAAAAGTGCTTCGCAAAAATATGTTTATTTATTTATCGCGTAACAGACAATAATAATTTTGAAATTAAGAAAGAGGATAGATAATAATGTATCAATATATTAATGATTTTATTGAATTTGAATGTATTAAATTATTGGACCTGCATAAGAGAACGGGAAACGACACGAATCGATCAGCTGGAAGAGACATTGCTGGCTATTTCATTTTTCATTAATCTAATAAAACAACGAGTCTTCTACGGTTTATTTTCCAATTCACGTGCATGCAGTGTTTCTTCGCGATGAATTTGCATAAACTTGGAGCTATTCTTATTCTCCTCTTGCGAGTGGATGCACAACTTTTCTCTCGTCATTCTCTTTCTCGGTCGATTGATCAGCTGACAGGACATTCTCCTATTGTTGTTCCTTTCAGAAACTTCGGTCTACTCCATTTTTACTCACTTTGAAGAATTTCGCGCACTTAAGTATCTGACAAAAAGAAAAATTAGTTGTTCTCTGGAAAATAAATCAGCGTAACTTTGCTTCTTTCATAGGAAAAACTTGTTTTCTCGCATAACCTCTAATGGTTCAGATCAATATTGATTCATTGTATATTTCACAAACTTGTTTTTTTTCTCGCATGCAAAATGTCTTTTTGTATGTGAGATAAATCATTCGTAATTATCGAATATTTCGTAAGCTGTTTTTGTATTAAAATTGATTCTTGTGCACATTAGTTTCTACGTTAAAAAAAGTTTTAATGCAGAAATCCAATTGACTAGAAGAAAATTTAATGTGCTAACTGATGATATATTGCATGTTTATCAGTCTTATACATTGAGATTAATCTTCTCGATATTTAACAGTTACATTCAATAGTTATGTTCATCAACTGACGAGGCAAAAACTTATCGATAGAAAAACGTTATTAAGACTGAACACGTACATCCAACAGATGATATATATATATGTATCATAAAAAATACACATACACACACATATATATATATTAATTTTTTAATATCTTCTCGTAGATAAAAAACAGAAAGAATTTTTAAATTTTTGCTTCTTTTAATTGCAAAATAATATTATCACTTTTATCTTTGTTTTTAATTGTAAATGTCAGTATTACGAATAATTATCTCTCTTATAAATAAATTATCTCTCTTATAGATAATCATAAAAAAAGCCATATCTGGTATAGTACATATTAAAAATTTTAACATTTTACTCCGAAACACCCTTCTTTCCTTCCAGTCCGATCAGCTGATTAGCCCCAGACTCTCTGTTATCTCGGCCGCGAGCGGCACGAACCCCTCGAAAGGAGCAGAAGAAGCGTGTGTGTTGGTGCGTTCCTATTTTCCATAGCGCATGCGTCCAAAAGGAGGGTGGCAAGAGAGAGAGAGAGAGAGAGAGAGAGAGAGGGGAGAGTAAGCGAGGCTAAGCATTCAAGGGTGGTTCGCTTGCACGTTTCCAGGGGGGGATGGCGGCATCGCGTATTGATTCTGCCGTCACATCCCTCGGCTGTGCAGTCTCTCCTCCGAGGGTGGCTCGTTCCGAGGGTGGAAAAGGGGAGAAGCAGTCGCGCACGGTTGTCGTTGACGGCAACCTCCATCGGAGCAACGTTTCACCTCGCGTTTCTCGACCGTTGTTCCTCTCGCAAGAGCGTGATGAGGAGGCCGGTGTTCGAGGGATTACGATACGCGCGAACGAGGAAGATCCGCGAGCGGTGACATCGTTTCTACTCTTGACACACCTCTCTGAGGACTCGACGGAAGTGAACGTCTCGTCGTCGAGAATCCACTTCGGTGACTTTTACCGGAGTTCTCCGACATCGACAAGATCTTTCGCGAAAGGTCCCGCCTTTCGTGAGTCGCTAATTGATTGTGTGTTTCGATGAATCGTCGGCAAGCTATTGTCAGTGACGGATCGATGTTAGCTATAGACAGTGTTGGTGAGGGACTAGTGACGTCCTTCCTTGCTATCGTTGACCTAAGGTCGACGAGGTAGCGATCGGTGTGGTCAGTGACGTCTTTGAAAAGTATTGCACATATATGTGACACGTCTTCGTTTTGAATAAATTATCGTCAATTTCGAGGAAATTCATTAAGATAAATATCAGAAGAAATCTATTTAAAGTTTACTTTACAGTTTATAGTTTATAAAATAGATTCTCCAGAAAAGCTATTGATCTACTTTCTTGAAGTGTCGTGTCCTGTGGTAAAAATCAAGATCTTCGGAAACGGGATATCTACGAGGAATAATTTATTCGAGTACAAACATCGTCTTCGTGAAATTGATTTACAGTTCAATACTAGTACAAAGAGTGCCTAATGTGAAGTATCGGGCAATGATGTTCGCGGAATCATATCACGTATTTTATAAACGATCCGTGAAGATACATTTGTCGAGCAAAAAAAGAGAGAGAGAATATGATTTCAGTGAATGAATCGGTGAAATTTAGTCGAAGAGAAATAATTCCGGTGTCCTTTCGAATGTTCGTTTATTCTTCCAGTGAAAGTTGAAGCACTCAATTCTTCGGCGACGCAAACACAATTTCGAAGCGCAGTTTTTACACGACACCGCGTATATCCTGATAAAATGACCCAACGTGGTGACACGCTTCGCGAATTGACTCATCGCTCGACTTTCCAAAACGATCGACCACGAAACTGTGGCATCTAATCTAATCGCGGAGTCAGTTATCATTATCGAAGGACCGAGGGAATGAAATAATCTTGAGAGTTAATAAAAATATTAACAGAAGAAAAAGAAATAATCCCGGCTCTCGAGATCGTCGACGGGATAAAGTGACAGCAACAGCGAAAATCGAACGACAGAAGATGACAGGGATCGAAGTGATCGAGTGTCCCGCGCGATCCTGCTATTGAATCTTTTGCACGCATTCTCGTGATTCTCGCGTGCTGTTGACGAATCAACTAATCCGCCTCGGCGATCGTTTTTTTTTATGCGCATGCGAGCACGCGGAAGCAATCCACTATCGTCGGATCCGACGTCGATCCGTCGTTTGCTATCGATCGTTCCGCCGAGACGCGGAAGAGAGTAGTCAAACTGGCGGCTTCCAAGGTTGCGGCCGCCTCTAGTTCGCGCAAGATGGTCACGCGTGGCCTCCTGCGGGTAATGATATATGAAAAACTTAGTTTTCATATAACTTAGTTTTTCTAACTTAGTTTTTCAAACCTCTGCTCGATTTGTTACTTTTATTTTATTTTATTCTATTTGTTGTTTTCATTTTATTTTATTCTATTTGTCGTTTTTATTTTATTTTATTCTATTTGTTTTTATTTTATTTTATTTCGCTTTTATTTTTATTTTATTTTTTAATTCAAATCCTGGACGTCTCTCAAGCGTGTTTTCATTCCATCGAGTATGACTCATATTCAGAGATCTCGACTAAATGTTTCCTTCTTCTATTAGTCAGAAAAATATAAATTAATATAAGTTTTTTCGACACGACTCGCACAAGCGCGATCGCTTGCGAGTAACGCGAAAGACCGGCCGCGTTTTTCATTCAAAACAATTCTGTATCTGGTGCACTTTAACGAGGTTTAATTAATTCCATTGACAGTGGCCGTCGCCGACGCCATCACCGCTATGCATCACGGTGTCACGTGCGTATACGCGCGTTACGCGCATAAAGGAGTGCGTAAAGAGAGATTCGCGAGAGATTCCTCGTATCCACGAGGAATGCGAGCTGTGCTTTTAACGAGCACTTGCCCTGTATTTCTCGTGTTCCGTTCCGCAAATTTATAAACGCCCCGCGCCGAGTTTCTGAAATAGTTGGCTATTTACAACGCAACTTCTCGGCCTCGCGTTTCTTGAAATTAATATTAACGTGCACGTTGATACAGCGTTCCAAATAAATCTCTAATTTATCAGATTTAGAGTATTTATAGGATTATATTACGTTAGCTCTAAATTTTATATAATAATATTGCTCGTTTCGAATTATAACGTATTTAACCGCTAATTTTATTTGTTAAAATATATTTTTTAGGATAAACTATCTATATATTGTATACATGATATATGTTATTCTTCAATATATATAATTGATATTACAAAAGTATAGACTTGCGATGTGAGAAGCATATACAAATTGAAAAATTATTTATATAATTTATTTAAATACATTTTTTATGCGTATGACATTTGCGTATAAAAAAACTACTCGCTGCGTCTCGTGTGATATAAGAGAGCAACATTTCGTTAAAAATAATATGTCGTTTATAATAAAATGTCGTTTATAATAAAATGTCGTTTTACATAGAACCATCGATCTAGGAATGAGACTGAGCCACACAATTTATTGACGTGATGTTTTACTTGTTGCAGACGGGGGATGGCGTAGGGGTGTCGAGTACCGGAGGCCGACTCTCTTCGAGAAGTCGGACCTCCGAGGAGCCTCACATCGGCAAGTACAAATTACTGAAAACCATCGGTAAGGGTAACTTTGCCAAGGTGAAACTTGCCAAGCATGTGCCCACGGGAAAGGAAGTAGCTATCAAGATCATCGATAAAACTCAATTGAATCCCGGTAGTCTTCAAAAGGTAACCTTCTCGTTGTTGTATTTTTTTTATCGTTTATCTCTCTTGTGCGAAGCTAAAAAATAGGATTAGACAGATGTAGCAGTGGAAATTATGCGTAATTATATTTTTATTAATCGTTATTTTAAATTGCTTATTATAAAAAATATAAAAACTACTATTCTAATTATTAGAAAAAAACGAAATCGAATCATTTAACTTGATTACTGATAATTTTATAAAATGACAGTTCGAGTCACGAGTTGTATTACCATAATTTAACAAAAAAAGACTTCAAATTATACAAGCACATTTCAATAAATCCAAGTACATGATTCATACTGACGGATATTGAATAATTACAGCTGTTTCGAGAAGTCAGGATAATGAAGATGCTCGATCATCCGAACATAGTGAAACTGTTTCAAGTAATCGAAACTGAAAAAACATTGTACCTAGTAATGGAGTATGCCAGCGGCGGCGAAGTCTTCGATTACCTGGTCTTGCATGGTCGGATGAAGGAGAAAGAAGCGAGGGCGAAGTTCAGGCAGATCGTTTCTGCCGTGCAATACTGCCATCAAAAGAAGATCATTCACAGGGACTTGAAAGCCGAGAACCTGTTGCTCGATAGCGAAATGAATATCAAGATTGCCGATTTCGGTTTTAGCAATGAATTTACACCCGGTAACAAGTTAGACACATTTTGCGGCTCGCCGCCTTACGCCGCCCCGGAGCTCTTTCAAGGTAAAGAACTTTCCTCAGGAAATAATATCTCATCCGGATTTTTATCGGAGCTTTTTAAATTTAACTCACGCGCGATCAATTCTCAATTTGCAGGAAAGAAATACGATGGCCCGGAAGTCGATGTATGGTCGTTAGGCGTAATCCTGTACACACTGGTATCCGGTTCACTGCCTTTCGATGGTTCGACGTTGAGAGAATTGAGGGAAAGAGTATTAAGGGGGAAATATAGGATTCCATTTTATATGTCCACCGACTGTGAAAATCTTCTCAAAAAATTCTTGGTGCTCAACCCGACGAAGAGAGCCTCACTAGAGGTATGTGATGATCAGGTTCGAATTGTCTTGCTTTTTTTATATTTATATTTTGTAAGATAATATTAATCGGTACTTTAACGACATGATACGTTCTTAAATACGCAATTTGTACTTGAAAAATAAAATTTACGATCTCTTTATTATTGTAGAATATAATGAAAGATAAATGGATGAACATGGGATACGAAGATGATGAATTAAAACCGTACTTAGAACCTGAACCTGATTATAGAGACCACAAGAGGATAGGTGAGTCTGCCAGTATGTACATAACACTTACTACTTACCGTTTTTACGTTTTAATATGACACTCGTTATGAATGTTTCTACATTACGCGAGATTACGTGAGAGAGATTATCGTTCTCCCTTTTTCGATTTCTCTGTAAACAATATATCTTAAATATAACAATAACATAAATTGTACAGTCGCTTTAATAAGATGGATTTTGATGTAACTTTTTAATATAAGAAAAACATTCATGATTGGGTGTTTTTTGTAGATGTGACTATTAATATATTAATGAAATATATCAGACAAATCTTTTTTATCACTTGATAACTCACAGTGTGAAAATATCATATAATTTGTTTTTCGGATTACTATTTGGTCTGATATATTTATATTTATGTGTGTGTGTTTATAATTACTTCTTTCAATTGTAAAAGAATGTCTTAATCGTGAAATAAAGCTTTATAATGAATGTTAATATTAAAAACTGAACTAACATCGACTCACCTGTAACGAGTGTCTAAATGCGGATTATGCATCGTCGTAAAGGCAATGCGAAGAGAGCAAGTAATTTTTAAGAATTCAATGTATTTCGAACAGTATATCTGTTATGAGCATACGTAGTAGCGAGCTTCTCGACTTGATTCGTTTGCATTTTTCTAATTAGTTTTGGCTGCGTTGTAAATGTTGAAAAAAATGTCCTAATAGATATGACTATATCATCGCTTGTTTTCATTTCAGAGGCCCTAGCTAGTTTGGGATATACTCGAAGCGAGATAGAGGATTCCTTAGGACAAGCAAAGTACGATGACGTATTCGCCACGTACTTGCTTCTAGGCAGGAAAACGACAGACGTAAGTACACATCAACTTTAACTTATAATAAGACTTATTATTATAAGCAGCTTACTTATTATAAGCTCCAAATTCTCTTTTTACATCGATCTCACGAATTTCTATCTGTTAACAGCCTGAAAGCGACGGATCACGGTCGGGTAGTTCATTATCGCTGCGTAACATTCCACCACAGGTCAGCTCAGGTGGTGGAGGTGGGAGCAGCGGGGGAACAGGTGGCGCAGTACAAAGTCCATCGCACAGAGGTGTTCACAGAAGTATTTCTGCTAGCAATCCAAAACCCAGTAGACGGGCTTCGTCTGGTGGCGAAACTCTTCGTAAGTGTTATTTACTCGTTTGTACTTTAACCGTAACTTTTAATATACGGTATGGCAGTCTATAAACTTTATCGTCAGACGACAAGCATGGATAAAGGATAATTGCCAAACTTCTGGGTAAGACAAAAGACACCTTGTGCTCTTTATGATTGGAACTTCTGTGAAACAAACTTTTTGTATTATTTACGTTGAAAAGATATAGTAACTGTAGTTGATAGTTGTAGTAACACGTGAATTACATTATTAAACTAAATTTGTACATTTTAATAGGCGTCAATATATCATTAATATATCATTAACAAAAATGGTAACAGAAAGAACAAGATTGTTTATACATCTATTAGTAGTACAAGTGCTGTGCATGTCTGAAAACAAAGACTTTTTTATTGCATAATTTTCTTTCCCCATTAGGAGGCGCGCCAAGTCCGGGTAATGCAACGAATCACAATCACGCGACTGCGGTAACTGGCACAGCTGTGACTGGAAGCGGTGGTAGCAATTTTAAACGACAAAATACCGTGGATGCAGCCACAATTAAAGAAAATAGCGCTCGTGTTTCTGCAAGTCGGCCCTCCGCACCAAAAAACAGTCAGCCGCCTGGGCAATTAGATACCAGTGAGTTTATTTTATTCTTGGACAAGTCGGGAAAGAAATTTTTATCAAACCTCTTATCAATGAATATATTATTCGAATATTTGTCATGCAATGTTTACTTCGTGATGCTTTAGGGAAAAGATCTTTGGATGAGGTTGCTTTGAATAAGGTCGCAATGTTTCTTTCAGTAGCTATATTTATCAAGGGTTCAGTTTCATCAATTGTCGATTATTTTTGTTATTCATCATTCATTGTTTACAAATCATGCATTCTCGTATATCTATTGATACAGTTATGTTGTTATCGGAGAGTCTAGTTCTATATGTCTTTAATGTCAAATCGATCATGTCTGTTGCATATGTTGCAAGGTTGAACACACAATCTTTTTGTCATAATTTTATCATCGTATATATCTAGAACTTAATCATCTATGGTTTTTATTATGTGTTGACATGTGCGAAATATCATATAATTATTTAACATTATTCTCAAGTTTTTCATTTAATATGGTAGCAGGTTAGACGCAGATTTCACGCATTCAGCTCATGATTCTCTTTAATAATCTGTTTCCGTGTTTTTTTAATAATTTGAAGTATGTTGCTTTTTGTTTTGTGTTGAACCACATCTAATGAGGCTTGCAGTGACAATGTTCATTCTAGGCGTGGGTACAAGTCCTGGTGGTAAAGCGAGGGTAGGCAAGAGCAACACAATGAATGCAGGAGTAGGTGGTGGTCGACCACTTACCTCACCTGCTCCTGGTTCTGTTGGTCGACGTAGCACCATCTCCTACGATCAAGCAAAAACATCATCTTCATCTACCGAAAGAACCAACGAAGTACCCAGGTATAGTGGTATCCAATTACTTTTAATCAAGAAACACGATCTATTTTGCGCAAAAAAAGGAAATCTAGATATTATTAAAACGAAACAAAATTTTATATAGCGAAATTTTCATATAATTACAATTTTTTTATTTATATTTTTTCTTACTTCTTATGGGATATTGGATGTGTGTTTGATTTTTGTTCTTTTTCTATATAATATTACGGAACTTTGAAATTTGTTATTGATTAGAAGAGATACATTTAGAAAATGGTTAAAATATCAATAAAAATAATTTCCTAGTTATTCTGCTCAAAAATAAAAAATAATTTACGATTTTAATGGTTTTGATTTAAAGTAAAATTATATAATTTTACTTTAAATCAAAACCATTAAAATTAACCAATCAAAGTTTTTCAAAAAAAGTTGATTTTAACCTGTAATTAAAAAAATTCATACAGAATTTATTTAGCAAAAAGTATTGATTGTAACGTAATTACATAAGAAAAAAGTAAAAGAAAATTATAAATATGTTTATTCACTATGTTAAAAGAAAAAAAAAGAATCATAAAGATATATAAATATTTTGTCATATAATTATATAATTATAGCTAGTCACTTTCTTAATTTTTGTGAATCGATCCAATATCTCATATGCGAAAATTTGACAAGTTTTTTTTTGTATATTTTTATATATACAGCAAGATATTATATGATTAGAATGCATTTATAGTGTGATGATATTTCTACATTTTCTATCGATTTAACACTCTTTTATTTTCACTAACCATAGACAACTGATTACTTATGTGTGTCAAGTGTACACTAAAACCATGAATACAACAAAACAGTCTCGTAATCGCGAGTGAATAATAACAAAAATCTTAGAAGCCCCGGGGAAGTTTATTTGTTTGTTGCATCGCTCTAGCATGTTTGGCTGCTGCCTGCCAATCGTTCATTGCGATATCACTTTCTTTATGGCTTGACAGATGTATCGAACGGACAGTCTGATTTTTAACGTTTATACATGTACAGACGCTTGCTGAAACGATGTCAGACCACAGTCACATTTACATGTATTATCTCAGATATAAGGCATAGTCGAAAAGGAAATTTAGATACATTCATTAATATCATCATACTTTTTTTTTCATCTTTACGTTACAGCATTATATTTTCTCGTTTCTCTTATCGTGCGAGTATTTCGTGAAGTTACATTAGTTGCAGCATTTAGTATTTTCATTCTCCTTCTTCCATCCTCATAATTTCCTTTTACATTCCTCTTTTGATGAGAGTTTCTGTTACAAAAAATATATTTCTACAAAATATATGAAGTATATGTGTTTCATGTATAGTGGAGTCTCTTCAAATTTGGTCCCTATTAATTTTGATGATCTTCTACATACGTACTTTTATGAAATAATAATGTACTCCCTCTTTGTTATAATAGATTGTATGATAGGCAATGATAAAAAATGTAATGTGGCAATTTTGCGTAATAAAAATTGCATACGCATTAGTGCAATACAGCAAATGAGCAATTCGTGCTGGGAGAATGTTAATTTCTGTTTTTCAGAAATTGTTTGCTCTTACCGTTGTAGAGGATCAAAATTAACGAGACTCTATTTTACATTCATATATATGTGCAAATCTTTTAAAATTATTGAAGTATAATTAATAAATATAAATATGTGAAAATTTATCAAATGTATTTTTTTATTTTTCTCTTTTTTTAACAATATATAATAATTAAGCAACTTATTACAACTTGAAACATAAATGACAAAATTTTTAATCCTAATCTCTTATCTTAATCTGGAAATGAAAAATCTATTAATATATAAAATGCATAAATACGTAATCAAATGTATTTTCAATGGTTGACAAATTTCGTAAATCTCAGATCTCGCCCCATATTGCTTCTATCTATACAGCTTTGTGAAAATTCTGCTCTTTTATTATTATTGTGCAAAAGGAAAGAAAAAGAAAATAGAATTAAATCGTGGAAGATAAGGCAATCCGGCAATTTGCTGATTAGTTTTGTGCACAGCCTGGGCGAGGGCACTAGACCGACGCGGGGTCACACGAAGTCTGCGAGCATCAGCGCAGGTCACCGTTCCTCAAGTGGTGTACCCCCCAGCGACCATTCACTACTGGACCCTCAACCACGCAACGCCCACAACTCCTTACTCGCCACCGCTGACCCCCTTAGGCAGAGGTACAGGCCCCCACAATGTCCCTCTAATACAAGAACCAAATAACCTGTGCATACTCTTATTCCTGCATATTTATAAAGTATATTTCGGATATCTTCTATCGTTTATGTTTACTTCTTTCTTGGGCCACTAACTTTCTTAGGGTAACCAGGTATCCCAAATATCGTATTAGCTTCTCACGAATATAGTCTGAAAAGACTATGAGAAGACTCGTCGTAAACGATAGCGCTATTTCTTCGAATATTCTACTTAAAAGATTGTCCAAATAGGTTTCTCTAGGATAGTTTCTGGTCATTTTCTCATTTCTCTCTGCTTCCTTTTCTATCTCTTTCTCTCTTACATTTCTCTCTTCTTTCTCTTTCTCATTTGCATGAATTAAATTTTGCTAGATCTATAAATAATTATATCAGCTCCTTCTTTATTTGTATATAAATCATTTAGGCTTGATTATGGCACCATAAAATTACACATATCTCACTTAATCATTATACAATCTCATGCTTACACTCTTCATTCACTTCAATTTTTAGAATTGACTAGATTAACTTTGATTAGTTCGAGTGAGCTTTTAATCATATAGGACATTATAATGATATATTTCGAGAAGATACAATGTTATATTTCGAGAAGTATGTTGTCATAATCAAAATCTATTAAGGAAACATTTATTCTATATCGATTACTTGATTCCTCAAGTATATGAACACAGGTTCCTATATATATTTTTTTTACATAATTTTTGCGTTATCCTTTAAGATAACGCAAAATAATCGCTACATCGTAATATAGTTTATTAATTAAGAAATATATTTATTGTATATAAATCATAAGTATTTATTGAATATAATATATAATTACTAATTATTTAAGCTATTTACTTATGTTTATAATCTCGCTGCTAATCACACGATTGTAATATTTCAAACATATTTCTCTCACGAATAGCATATCGTACTTTTGAAATCATCTGTTTCTAAAGCATGTGCAGTTACATTTCAAACGATTGAAACATATTGCGTTCATCTGTAACTTTGCCGCATACTCTCAATCATATAAACTAATCATTAACTTATTTTTCATGAATTTTGCTTCGTTTACATGCTAAGCTTCATTTGTGAGCTACAAATTGCTTGCGCGTTGAAAATTCACAACAGTATTTCTAGAATTTGATACGCATAGCATAGCATTGAACAACAATTTATCTTATTACTTGTTTCTCTGCATCTTGATGCCACAGTTTCTCTTAAATTTAATCAATTAGATACCAATTGTAGTATATACGCTCTCCGCAAATTGCCAGTAATACACATAAAACTATAAAGCCGCCGATAATCTTAGCCTTTATATTTATCACACAATTATAGCTTACTAAAACAGAGATCATCGTCTGTTGTTAGCTTGGGTGTATGTGCGAGCAACAGACTGGCAACAGCCACTACGCCAGCGTTTCCACGGAATGTACCGAGTCGCAGTACGTTTCATTCTGGCCAAAATAGAGCACAGCGAAATCACACTCAGGTAAATATTCGTAAAATTAAAAAAAATAGTTTGCAAAGAACAAAAGATGAATAAGAGGCTTTGACTCGACATGTTTATATATCAGTACTATCAATATTTCGATATTTCGGAAATTAATTGAGACAAAAAGAGATAATCTGATTTATACTGACAATATTATTTGCTATATATATTTTTCATGCCACATGCTGATTTAATACAAGTATATCGTACTTCTAGGGTCACACACAAACGCAAGACACGAATGCGATTAGCCCTCTAGCAAGGCCGTCCTTCTTCTCGAAGTTATCCTCGAAATTCTCCAAACGGTAAGTTTCATAATTATTTGAATTCACATTTTAGTTACCGATATTTGACAGCATGCCAATAACGTATACGATCGAAATTACTCCACTGTCGTTCGAATATTTTCTTTACGGTTATAATCCACGTTTTACAATTTAAGTCAATTATCACATATAAGACATACATATTAGATTGATTTGTAACTTTAAATTTCGTTTCTAATCGACGGTCCTAATTAGCTACGAAATTTCTTTGAAAATTCGACGATCAAATAGAGACCTCAAGAGTAGTAAAGATATTAATCCAAGAAAAATATGTGCGTTAAAAGAGTATGCTAATGTCATTAGAAGAATTATCTCAATCTCTTTTTTTATATAACTGCATGCTTTACAAAATAATTCACACACCAAAGAAAATGAAAAAAATTATTTCATATAAACATCTCGTTATGTTTTTTTTTATATTTCTCTTATTTCTTTTTATATTTCTCTTATTTCTTATTCATTGAATTGTTTTTCGATATATGCCCTCCAAGAGTAGAAAATATATTCAATAATTTTCATATTCACGTTATCCGATCTAATACGCGAGTACAGACTGAGAGTGCTAGCATAAACATATTGCAGCTTTGCAGTGGACCCTCAGTGCATGCTTAGCATCTTAAACATATCAGTGTTGAGATTTTAATACATACTTGAATATACTATCTCATACTGACATAGTTTGATAAATTGTATTTATTGTTTGCATGAAAAAATGACGTTTCTGTTTTTTAAGGATGCACAATGACTATGTAATTCTGGAAATTCTATATATTGGTATAATTACATATTATATATGTATATACATATATATATATATATATATATATATATATATATTATACATGATATTATTAGTTACAAATCCGATGAGCCAGCAGCGACCATTATCAGTGAAAGCCGCAGGACATATAGCTTATGCATTTTGTTCGTAGCTTTATTTATATTTACATATATTTATACATATAATACTATTTTCATCCTCAAGCATATATCGCGTACTTCACCTATTGATATTGTTTGTTTGTCCCATAAATATTTGCTTGACAGATTGTACCCTCTTTAGTCAAATTCTAAGTAGAAATATATATATATATACATATTTTTTTATCTCTCTTCTATATGCATAAGATATGTACACAACGCTTCCTTACAAAGTTTTGATTTAGTATCCTATATCGTGAATTAAAGATCGTATCGTTACAAGATTCGCGCTTAAGATAAATTCTCTCAAGATTGATTGATTGAAAATAACAGACATACATACATGTACACGCACACATATATTGCTCGGCTGAATTTAGGCCACCTCGCATATTCATTGTGCATCCCTTTTTCTCACTCGATTGTAGCGAGGCATATATCTTTGATTTATTATATATCATATATATAATTAATTTTATAATTAATTATATATTTATATATATATATATATATGGGACTTTTAATTATATATCATATCGCACATTCAAATGCAAATTGACAGCGTATACCACACACGTACATGTAAAGTGCTTGGAGCTGAGGATGGAAGACTGCAGAATAACGAGAGTTTATATACAAATCCGTTGTATAAAGAGCCGTTGAATTCTCTCACTTTCATGATATGGTCACTGTACTCATCATCTCCTGATGTACATAAATAACGGAAATAATGGAAATATTGCGGAATTGACGGTATCCATAGCCATTGGTGCATCAGAATAATCCCTTTGACGTTTCTATACTATTAATTAATTCATACCGGTTATATATGTTATATGCTGCAGGCCGTGAACTGTATAAGCTTCGCTTCATCTCTCGAGTTCCTTCCGACAAGCGAAAGGCCATAGAGACACGGGTTTTAAACACGACTGATGTGCTGACTGATGTCGTGAGCGAAAAAAACGGTCAACTGCTCAACGGATATTGTGTGATTACATATATATATATATATATATATATATATATATATATATATATATATATATGAGAAGAAAGAAACTCAACTCCGTTATTCTGTGGTTTTCAAGATAGTTTTCATTGTATAGAGACTACATTTTTTAGGAACTTTTTACATATATCGTCATACATTGCGCGTAATCTTGACATACATGTGATATACGTATTTACGTTTATATCCGGTTTCTCACATCCTTGTATAATGCATATACGTATATACATATGTGTGGTGTTATATAATTATTAAAAAAAAAAAAGAAAGAAAGAAAAGTGACGTCTTCCTGAAATCACAAAACAGGAGATCGCCTTACGCACTTAGATATAGCACTGGAATCTGTGCCTTTCCTAATTCAGCCTCTGCCTCATAACTATATATGTATGTATATATACATACTTTACGTCGTCCATTTAAGCAGAGAAAAACCCTTGATAATATATCTTGTGTATATTTTTGTACCATTTTTCGCGAAGATTTTAACTTATTTTTGTCTCACTTTGGTTTGTAAATTAAAAAAAAAAAAGAGTGCAAAAAGAAAATCATTTTTACGAGATAGATAGCGATGATACAGATGCCTTCCCCGACGTAAAGTATTATAAATCACCAAAATGTTTAAGAATAAATGTGCTCTTTCAGAGACACTTATTATATTTTTTAAACATCGAGAATATTTTTACGTAGCGGCGAATGTGCGACAGGCATAGATTGTTTTTCCGTTAGTTTAAAGTTAGCGATCCCCCGCAAATGTGATGAGAAACGAGTTTTACTTGTAAATCATACGACGCATACAAAGCATAACGCAAAAGTCTTTTACACAATTTTCTCTAAAACTTGAATAGACAACTCTTCTTTATCTCTCTGCAATATTTTTTATCGATAGTAAGAAAGACATATTTACACATGTTCCTCGTTTTTTTTTTCTTGTATTACTTATTACCCTAAGTATACCCTAAGTACCCTTTTTCTCTCTATACTGCCTCAAAGGGATGAAATTGATAGGAGATGCTTGTTAACGTGATCAAAATATAATGAATCTGTCACACAACACTAGAAACTGAAATTTCGCGCGCGAGTGTGTATGTGTGAGAGGAAAATGTATAGTTATACTAACACTAACGAACGAACAGACAGATTTTTCTAGCGATAACAGAGTACATATATGATTGTTCGTACTTTGACAGATTTTTTTAAGTGAAGGAGGAAGTCTCGCCTTGTTTCCCACGAGCTGAAATGAGAGCGAGCCCCGCATGCAGATATATCGCGCCATGGCAATCGCACCTTCTACCAATGTATTGTTTTATTTCGTTTCAATCTTTTCTCTTGATTCTTTTTTTTCGCAGATTATATAATACGAAGAATATATAGGATAATATAATGTTGTATATCTCTTGTAAAACATTATTTAGCGCCTTTTTTCTTTTTTCTTTTTTTTCCCTTCTCTTCCTTTTTCTTTCTTAGGAAAATATGTTGGATAGCAATAACATTTAAAGACTATATGTAGAATTTGTGTCGTGTAATAAGATCTTTTTTTCTACCGCCAACGATTAAAGCGTATTCTCAGTGCACTCAATACTGCATGCTTTTCATATTTTCATGTAATATAAAATGTTCTATCTATACCGCTAGTTAAACTTGATACAACATGTGGTCGACCAAGTTTCATATGTATATTATTTTATTTCCTTTTTATTTATTTCTTCTTTTTTTTGACTCTGTGTTGATATCCAGCATAGATTCCTTCTCTCAAAGATAGCGTGGAATTCATGTCTGGTTTTTTCTTTTCTTTTTTTACAATATTATTATAATTAACTTTAAAAAACTTAGCTTCTTATTTCAATTTTTTTACTTAAATGGAATTCAAAAGGAAATGTATCTCTTAAAACGAATGGATATGTATATTATCGTATATATATGGTGTCTGTATAGAAACTGACATGTAGATTGAGCTACTTTTGTTTTATAATAGATATTGTTTTAGACTTTTCATGTTATTTACAGATAATTTAGCAAAATTATAATAAATAATTCGAATTAAACTATTATAATAAGTAACTCGAAACTGAAATTAATATTAATACAATAGTATTTTTCTTTGCAAGAAGGTGAAAAAACCTAAGATGAAAAAGCTAACTCGATTTATATTCATAATATGATAATTTTGCAACATATATTTCACGCTTTTACATTATTTTCTGGACTAATTTCTGCGTTTTCTATTTAACTTAAAATTAATTAGTATGATTGCATTTATTACTTAAGAGAGTTGACGCAAACTACAAATATATTACAATCGAACGGAAGTAAATATGTGAGATGAAGAAGTATATCAGGCATTCCACTTTATTTTTTTTTTATGATTAATGCACATGATTAATGTACATGCCTCTTAATATGCGATAACAGAAATCAAATGCACCATATTTTTTTTATTGGGAGAAGGAATTCCACACTGTCGAGGTTTTGTAAACAAATAGCAACAGATTGCACAAAAGTTTTTTTTTTATATTTAGTATTATTAAAACTTTTTCCTCATTTCTTTACATATACCGGCAGTTACAAATACTGTTTCGATGCTGATCTCAAAACTGACTAATGAATTAATCATAGAGTGCTATTTGATTGCAATGAACGGCAATTTCGACTTTTTTACCCACCTTGCTTTAATTTATTTCTATTCTATTGTTAAATATATTCATTTATAAAATTGTATAAATTATTGAAAACGCGTGAAACACAATAGAACATGTTATTCGAACAAGACAGGCCATAATTGGTATTTGATTTATTTGTATATTGATTAATGTATCCTAATCTACATTGTACATCATCGTTTAATTATTAGAAATATACAATATTCGAGCACGTATATTATGTCTCTGCTAATCTTGTTGTTATGACACAATGAAGATAGGTATTAATTTTTACTCGACAATGAGCGATACTGTGCTTAGTACAATGTAATATAATAAATCCAATTAAATTAATTATTATTTAAATAGCTTTTGACCAAGAAAGAAGATGATTAGTTAAATATACTTATTATTTCATAAATTTCCTTTATTTAAGTTATTTATCGTAAAATTATGAATATATAATTTTTTCTGTATATTTCTCCAACATACTTATTCCTTTTTTTAATTCAGAAACAAAAAAGCGTTTTGATGCGTGGACGAAAATTTTACAGTGTAGTACGGCTGTTAAAATCCAGAATCTGACATCTTATCTCAATACTAAGTGCAGATATTGACTTTTGGGTATATTATAAATTTGAGAGTTGTGACCGCGTGTGTGTGTATGTGCGTTACACCTTAATATGTCGAAGATACGTGCCTTTTTCTATATGATATATTGTGTATTTCAAATATCTCGTTATTACACGATAAATCTCGATGCATTAATCCTTCCACCAGTCATTGCCAATATAGCATTTATTAAATGATATCTGGTCAACGCAATAGTATCTACATGTTATATAGCAAATAATAATAATAATAATATTAATAATAATAATTGTTATTATTATTATTATTACTACTATATGTTTATTAAGACGGATCATAGCGTACCCTATAAAGTGGTCTTGGGCTGCTCAAAATATGCGTTATCTTACTTTTAGCAAATCAGAGAAATCTTATACTCGTCTCTGATTTTTTAAGACATTGATAATTTTTTTCTATTCTTTTATACAAAGAACGTTGAAGAAATTGTATTTACACTTCTATTGTATGATATATAGAGCGTTTCTCTAATTAATTTTTTTTTGTTTTTTGTTTCATTTTAATTTACATCTTGCGAGATTGCACAATTAATGTATCCTGATATATTTAGTATTTTGATATAATATATTCTTAATAAATATTTGAAAAGTCGTCATTAATAGAATTTGTTTTTGTATCATCATGTTTTTATCGAAGCATAAGTGATATTAGAAGATTATAAAGTTAATAAGATATGTAATAACACCTAAGGCCACTCATAATAAACTAATGTATATGAAAATGAAAAAAGCGAAGAGAGAAAGAGAGAGAGAGAGAGAGAGAGCGAGCGAGAGAGAAAGAGAGAGAGAGAAATCACGTCACATATTAAATATATCAAAATATAAATATATATAAATATATGTATATATATATATATATATATATATATATATATATATATGAGATAAAAAAACATTTGTATGCAAATTATATAAATATAACGTGTCTTTAAGCGATGCTTTTTGCTGCACTCCAATTACGTGCCCGTCCAAGCATCCACAGAGGATCCTTAGGATATTATCAGTTTTATATATAGTCAGTCCACATTATTTAAAGAACCTAATTTAGAAATTCTAATTTAGATATCTTTTACGTTATGGAGAGCAGTAAATAGCTTACGTAAAATTAACAGGATAGAAATATTATTTAATAATTTTAAGGAGCAATAATAGTAATAATTTCGCATTATAATAAATATGTCAAAAACTGTCTTGTATATGTTGTATCAATTTATTTCTGAATCCTCGTATAGCATAAAAAAGGACATTTAATGCGAAAACACACGAGTCTTACACTATTTTATACGATGCATGTAACTCGTTAGGAATGTTATGTGTAAAAATTGGGCTCTTTTTTTATACTCACGCAACATGGTTATTTATATGAAAGTTTGTCTCTTAACACATACATACACACACATCACAAATTAAAAATTATAATTTACCTTAAAAAGAAAAAAGAAAGATTGTAGTCACAATTAATGTTATATAATTTAATTAATTTAACATTTATCTCCTTCCAACAATAAATGTTTCCAACATAATTAAGATAATTTCATACATCACAATCCGTATTTTTTCTTTTTTTTTTTTTTTAATTTTTCCTATTTGAAAGAAAAAATTCAAAGACAATAAGAATACTATATGATATCGAAAGAGATCCTCTAAACTCATCGCATCAATAATTATCTATGTGTCATAATCAGTGTGCGATGGTGACAGGATGGTGATGGTTGTTATACATATTTGACGATTTAATTAATTTATCATGTTTAGTGTGTTTGTTAGCAACTTGCCTTTGTTTTGTTATTTCAGCCCCATGGACCCATCCGTACCCCCCAAGCACCTAGTAGTGAGGTACGTTGCCGCATACCGTAAATACCACGATCCACATGTTCTTAATTTCGCTCTCATTCGTTCCTTGATTTTTCGTACCAATCCAAACTTTCTGTTCGTCGCATCATTGATGGAATTCGCGTACTCACATTCATTTAAACAGTACGATGTATCGTTTTGTTGCATGCCTGTTCATCTGTTTATAAAATTTTTACATTGAAGCATGCATATATCATCGAAATGGCTCATTTCAAGAAATTATTTGACGTTTCAAATAGCTACACGTAAATAAAAATTGTGCTCCAATTGGCTATTGCCGATTCAAAGATAAATATCTATGAAAAGAGACATTATTTCAATACTAATATTAGATACTATCTTTTCATCTGTATGAAAAATGTTCGATTAATCATTGTAACTTTTATTTGTAACTAATTGTCATTTACGCACGTGTTTCATTAATCGCATATAGATTATAAATCTCTCGGAGATATAGATATATATATTCAAGGTGTTGCAATGATTCACGCATAAATTTTACAATTTTGTGTAACACTCATTTTAAATATGTTTCATTTACTACATAAATGTAAAATGTATGATGCAGCACTGAGTGATTAAATTTACGATGGCAAATGATCTGCATGACACGCATGTATGTTATAACTTTTTACAATTTGATTCTGAGTAAATTTCCATTTCACATCACGTTTCCAAACATTTTCTATTGACAGCTTGCAAGAATTCTTTTTAGCACAGCATCACGTAGAATCTCTCTTTGAGAAACGAACGAAAAGTTTATTAATATCCAATCGCAAGCTTAAAGCTTTAAATATACATTTTGTAAAATTTGCATTTCATCAGAATCGATACATATGCATTTTATAATTTTTAACTTGATATTAATATAAAATGATTTCTGATAATATATACAAGTAAAATTCGCTGGAAGAAATGTACAGATTTTATAATAGTTACTTAAAGTTAGATAGGAAGAAATATTTACGAGATATAAAAGAGAATTTTATGGTACAAATTACTTTGAGAAAACATTTTACCTCCTCTCCCCATAATTTATAAACATTGGAATCGTGTTTTAATTATATAATTTGGACGGGTTTAAGATATCTTTTTGTTACAGCGGAGCTACTACTAACGATGAACAAGTTAAGCCGCGCAGTCTACGCTTCACGTGGAGTATGAAGACTACCAGTAGTCGAGACCCTAACGAAATTATGTCTGAAATCCGAAAGGTATCGAGAAGAAAAAAGCACATTTATATTATAAAAGCAAAAACAAATCACGCGGAATGAAAGAGGATTGCTTGTAGGCAAGACAAATGTAGATAAAGAGCTTATATGTGCATCATTTTCTATGATTTAGTATGAAATTTTGATGAGCTTTTGTATAAAACAGAAATAGACATCACATTATTATTATTATTATTATTATTATATTGTATTGTATTGTCATTCCAGGTGTTGGACGCTAATAAATGCCAGTACGAGCAACGCGAACGATTTCTCTTGTTGTGTGCGCACGGCGAAGCAGCGACTGACAGCCAGGTGCAGTGGGAGATCGAGGTCTGCAAACTGCCACGACTTTCTCTGAATGGGGTACGATTCAAGCGTATCTCCGGCACATCGATCGGTTTCAAAAATATCGCCAGCAAGATCGCGAACGAGCTCAAGCTGTGACTGTCGGCTACGGGCGCCCTAGCCGCCAATCGCGCCAATCCATAACGACCTCGTGAACGTAGCCACCAAGTGGCGGTAGTCACCGAGGAGTTTTACTCTTGTTTCTTCTTCTGGGACTCCGACTCCGAATCCGATACCCAAGAAATATTCGTTTAAACGATTTTCCTTTGGCCCCCCCTCCTCCCTTCCTCCGAGGTCGACGAGTGTCGTCGTCAAATGAACGAAAAAGGGAAAGGAAGAAAGAGAGAGAGAAAAACAGAGATGCCCTCGTCTACATTGGAGGTACCGCTGTTAACGGTTCGTTGATAAAGTTCGAAACTGTGATCCGCGCGTGACGGCTAATACGTATTTAAAAATACTCCCGAGTGCCAAAATGAAGAACTAGGTCGGGTCCTCGTGACGCTCGTGAGAGCAAGAAAAAAAAATAGAATGAAAGATAAGAAAAATGGACGGACCTGATGACCTGACTTACGAAGAAGCTGGCGTTAGACACACACAATAATCTATTAGTTTATTAGTTTCGAATTTTCATTGTCGATAACACAGGGAAACGTGCATCCGAACGAAAATAATTAATGTCATGCTTACAGGTCGACTTGCCCTCCCGACTCCTGAGCAATCCATCTATCATAAACTGTCAACTTCATTTCTAAACAGTATTATATGTCTTGTGTTTATTCTTGATGTTGAAGCTGTCTGCATTCGAATTAGTATGTTTCTGAAATGTGTAATCGTATGCTATTGCTTCGCTGTGAAAATACTGAAAGATTAACGTAGAATTGGAACGTGAAGATTCCAATCGGATCATCAAATGTGCCTAATGAAGCATCTCTCACATAGATTACGTCTTTCACGGGAACTATGTTCCTTGTATTATAAACTAATGCATTCTATTTCCGTTCTCGCGGAAGGGAAAAGAAGCAGTGCATCTACAACGTCAAGAGAATTCTCCATAACTTCCTGTTTTTCTCCGATCTTACGTTTTATATATGAAAAATTTTACCAGCGCGTTTTTGCCTGTAAACAATTTGACAAAAGCTGATCGAGGGATACGCATAGTGTTGTATGTCGATATGTTGAATCTATCCTTCATTTTATCATACGCATTAACCGGATAATAATTCAATTACGAATATGTAGGAGCTATTTTAATTTGTGTTGCGCAACGTGTGTGCGGCACGCTTATTTTTTTCGAACATTTTTATGATACTTTACTTCTTTTTTTTATCTGTAGAATATAAGTTTTTGAAAATACACAGCACTATATAGACATTAGCCAATTAAAGCATATAATAATTATTATTAATAATATTTTTATTTCTATCATAGAGACGACAAGTATATATAGTATACACAATACTATATGAAGGTAGAGAAGCAGAGAAGTTATTAATATAATTTAGGAATACCATCGAGTTATTATCACTCGCATTTCATGTGAATAATACACGCAAGTACTTCATCATTCTTCGAAGAATTGGAATTATATAAACCTAAATTACTTCAGAGTAATAATGAGATCTGTTATTTCTACATGAAGAATACGATAATATTAAATTTAAGTATTGTAATTGGCTATATTGTATTACACACATTTAAAATCCTTTCATTCGCAAAGATATTTGTAATTGAATGAAGTAAAATTAGGAACACTGTACACTGTAGAAGCGAACTAGAGAGACTTGGTGTATGTAATATATATTACGAAGGTACTAAATTAATAGAGAGAGAAAAAGAGAGAGAGTGAGAGAGAGAAAGAGAGAGAGAGAGAGAGAGAGAACTTCACACACACCAAGATCATACACTTTGGAACTCGAGTATCGCAAACTTTTTATATTTGCCTAAGATTAATGAAGTATGTTACACTAAAATAGGCAATGACTAATTTATTTACATACTATATAAACTCAATGATTTTTCACATTTCTAACACTTGCTACACGAGAAATACGGATTAACTTCAACGCACCGACACCATGTACAATCGCGGTACATCGTGTTGCGAATCGTGAAACGACTGATAGCAACTAAGTATCGGCGCCAATTGTCTGTTACCGAACATCTTGATAAAGATTCTAAGTGCTACGATGATTAACGCAGCACTGGCATCGGGACTTACCTTCTTTGTGTATAACCATACCAGTTTCGTGTCGTCGGATTATTCCATTTCAACCAATAAGCAAGATAATGTAATATAACGACATAGTAATAGCGATTATAGTAATTATCAAGATTCACAAAGAGAGTCAAGTTTAACGCAAACATTTATACCCCTCTAAGAAAAAGAGAGAATCCAATCATTGTTATAGAAAATTAGACTAGAGGATATAATGATCGAAAGTTTCGTTTGTTCCTGCAGCGTAATCAGAGTTAGTATTACAATACTGAACATCATTATCATCTTGTAAAAAAGAACAAAAGGAATGTAATCCGGAAGCGGTTGTTGTAACAAAATGACTCTATAGAGATACACACACATACACAGACATACACATCATAATAGTGATTATTATTATTATTAATGTTAACGTAAGGTCCTTCAAATAGCATTAATGATAAATTCCTCCCTTCTCCCTTCCCCTGGCATATAGACGAATTAATTATATACCGTAATCTATACATAAAAACCCACCCTTCGCTCGCTTGCTTTATGAAAAAAATAAATGTATAAATTAACAATTGAAAGAGAGAGACAGAGAGAAAGAGAGAGAAAGAGAAGGAGATATAAATCTAAGAACACATTCAGGATTTTAACACACGTGAAGAAAGAATTTATTAAGAAATCGATTAGAATCGCAGAGCTGCACGGGCGACATTTAGAATTTCCGATTACGTAACGTCGGAGAGAAGAGCTTCTCTTATGATCTTTTTTTTTTCTTTCTTTCTTTTGTACGTAAAATAAGCGCGCTGTGAAATATATATTTCTTCCGCGTGCGTGTGTATGTGGGTTGCCCGTACAGCTGTGCATCTCTTACTCTGCACGCACATATACACGAATACATATATACATACATATATTATACATACACAACATACACATACACGTCAGTCTCTGTAGATAGGTACATACATACAGCTTTGCTAAATGTTTTCTGGTGATCGGTATCTAGCCAAAATGTAGCGAAACGTTTATAATAAAATGATAACACGCATTGTTTCCCGAGATTCAGATTCCTATCAAAACACGTGCGTTTATTTATCGACACGCGAGCTGTCGAGCATTTCTTTTCGCCTTTCTCTTTTCTTTTTTGTCGAGATCTCTACAATCCGATTTTGATAAGTGCGTAACAAAGAATTCGAGATTCTAAATTCTATTTTTTTTTAACTCAATTTGTGTGTGTATAATATATAATTGCGATGTATAATAAGTAGGAAGGATATTTCGCTCGAAAATAAAGCCGTCTTCGCATCTCATTATACGCTTCTTAGAATTAGACGAATTTATTATATGACAAATATCTAGTCGATAAAGTTTTCAATATGCATAAGTTCCACTTTTATCAAGTTTACTTTAAATTATAAATTGGCAGAAAAAAATAAAGTACAAAGGACGGCTGATAATTTAAAAGAGACAAGATAAATAACTGTGTTGGATAACTTAAATATTGCTGATATGATATCAATGTTATAAAATAAAACTGCATTTCCTTTAACTCACTCTTGCAGATCATTGCTTGAAAAAAAAAGGTGATATGAGAGAACAAAGTTTCAAGAAGCACATTAGATCGCACAATTGGACGAGGAATATACGCATGTGGTATGTGTTTTAAATTTATTTTTGTGGCAAGAGTAAACTTTCAATCATATATATCGATTATCAAAAATCTTTTATTTAATTATATGTTATAAAAAATATTTTAGTTTAAAACTGCCTATTCTAGATTAATGATTATTCCTCAAGTTATAATTCTAAAGCAATTTTTTTAATTAAAATATTAATGATCATTTTTTGACGGACACATATGTTGTCGATTAATCATTGCACTTCATATTGTTAATGATATACCTTTTTTTTTTGCTTTATCTTTAGATCCATTGCATTTGCTGATTCCTTGTAAAAGTTTAATTTTTTCTAATCAATTAGTGCATTTAGTTACAATCGCTTAAGAAACAGCTGTTTTTGATTGATGTATACTTGTATATATATATATATCTAAAATCTAAAAGTTACATCAATTAACCATTAAACATTATCAATTAAACATTATTCATACATATTACATTTACTCTGTTTTATCGCGAAGTGTTGTCTCTTCATTCTAAAGATTTTAATTCAACCAGCAACTTACTGACACGGAATAAAAATATGATTGACATTCTTATTCGAACATGTATAATCACGTGATAAATGTCAACAATAGGATAGTAGTGGGAATTTAATTTAGAGAAAAACAGCTGACTTGAAGTATAGAGAAGACATTTAGAATAGAGGTTCTTAGAATACAGAATCGTCCATCATGCAACAACGTGCTTGCGGCCTCGTCATTTTCCGTCGATTTCAAGATACCATCCAGTTTCTCTTGATGCAAACGTCATATGGGCAACATCACTGGACGCCGCCTAAAGGTCTGTGTTCATTCGTACATCCTGATACTTTTTATTCATCGCTCAATGACCTGTCAAATGATTAAAAGGCTATCCCTGCATCGTGTGCTTAATTGAATTTTGACAGTCGACTGATGTCTTTCCAGGTCATGTCGATCCCGGTGAATCCGACATGGAGACGGCGTTGCGCGAAACCCAGGAAGAGGCTGGCTTTACGTCGAGCGATCTCAAGATCTTCGAGGACGCGAGGCACGAGATGACATATCAAGTAAACGGGATGCCGAAGATTGTTATTTATTGGTTGGCAGAACTGCTCAATCCGGACAAGTCCGTAAAATTGTCGAATGAGCATCAGGCATACGAGTGGCTTTCGTTGCGCGAGGCTTGCGATCTAGCGAAATATGCCGAGATGCAGAGAGCCCTGAATGAATTCGACAAGTATATATCTCAGAATCTTTTGTAGATTTCGTATTCACACATTTCCATAATATATATATCCCGGTTTATATACATTCATATTTTCCCCCTTTCTCTGATCATATTTCTCTTTACATCCGCAAATATGTTTGAAAACAAGCCTTTGACTTTGCTTGAAAAAAAAAAAAAAAAACAAAACACTTGTCAGTGTTTAATCTTACTTATATGCCAAAGTTGACTTTTGATCAAGCTTAAGTAATAGTCATTTGTTGATTAACACAATGATTAATCCTATACAAAGCCTACGATCTTTTTTAAGTTATTGGTATTTTCGATATATGCTTGTTACCGAATTATATATGGTGGAAGAATGGGAGAGAAACTTCATCAGTATCCTTTGCAATTGTTCAATGTTACATTTGCATTTATGTGATGTCATCATTATGAAACATTTCTCATATTACAATACGAGTAAAAAAGATATATAAGATAAGATAACATGAAACATTGAATTGTATAATTGTAATAGTCAATTATATAAAATGTATAAAAAATAAGGCTGTAACCTTATTCTTGACAGAAGAATCGTTCAATATTTTTCCTAACTATAATAAACAGATATTTTTTTTCTAGCATTGTTCTTTCTCTTCTTCGTCTTCAACTACAAAGTACTGCTGCCAATCACACAATATGTGCGAGAAAGTTAACTGATTGTTATGTCTTTCTGCAGCGCTTATGTTTATATAAAAGAAATTTATTGTTTTAACATTCCGTATATTTTTGAAGCAAGTCTGTGATCCTGAGAATGTGTACTAAAAATATGTTTTAAAATAATTAACTGTGGCATACATAAGATTTAAATATCATAAAAATACAGCAATTTATTTTATTGTAAAAATTGAAGATCTTAATTTTCAATAAACATATACTTAGTTAAAAAAATACTTTTCTTATTTCTGTTTGCTTCTATTTTCTATTTGTTATGTTGATATAAAAGTATAAATGTATTTTGTCAATATCATCTTTGGCAACTTAATAAATTTATCATAGAATTTTTTTCGTTTTATGGTATGTAATCCAAGATATCCTGTTTAAGGAAATGATACATGAGATGTAAAAAATTAACATTTTTTTCACAACTTTTCCTTATATATACAATTGTTATATTAGGTACTGAAACACATCTCAGTAAAACATATACACATTATAAATATTAAATTTTTATTAATATGAAGTTCATTATATGAGTAACCATTAACCAATACTTTTAACAATTTCATACTATAATATTATATACTTTGCAAATTTATCATTTTAATGATTTGCATTGTTACTCCAAATTCAATTCATTGCATCTGATATCCCCTCCACGCGCGTTTCAAAGTTTAAAGAATTTATACAAATTATAGACTTTTTTTATCTGCCAATGATGAACATCAACACAGACAGTTCACCTAATAATATTTAACATTATAAATAGGCACAATAGGAGTAATACGAATCAGATCTTGCAATGATTTTGTAACCTTAGTTACATTTAGTTACGTATAAAGGTTAAAAATGTGATGTGACATTATAATTTTTTATAATAAATTTTCTAAAAGACTAAATTGCTGTGCCTTTTAAAGGCATAAGTTTTGGTATCGTTTCTATAAAAATTATCAATGTACAAACTGTTCGCATAAGTTTAATTAACGTTAAATCATACATACTCAAGTGTACATAACTCGAGTACATATTCAAAATAACAATTAAAAGATAACATAGTCAGGAATAAAATATAGAGAAGTAAAAATAGTAGTAATAATAAGAATGGTAGCAATGAGATATTGAAGTTTACATAAGACGGTAAACAATTTCCATAATATGCTGTGCGTGTGTATACGAAGCATTGTCATTTTGATGTATTTACACATATGGGATTACTTCTTCGAGAGAACATAGGCACCTGTCGCGCACAAGTTTTGCACAAGTCCCACTATTTTATCTTTTTTATTTTTTTTTTTAAATTATAACTACGTTTTTTGCCCTCCATGGAAGCTACTATCGTTTTAAAAGTGGATATATACTGAACGAACACAGAGCAAATGCAAGTGTTCAGATTCGTGTTTATCGCTTCTTTTCGCGCTGTACTAAACATTTACATTAGACTGTATTCTCATCTTACGCATGAGATTTCTTTGATGCCTACCATCTTATAAGAGAATTTAACGTTGACAAAGCATCGTTAGACAATTTGCGATCGCCTTCCGAATTTTAACAGTAACATTCACATTTACTGTTGATTCGTTGTCTCCTCGCTCAATGTATATCCACCTTAAGATGAATACAATGCATTTATTGCTAATATTGCAATAATGTCCTTGTGTGACTCTGGGAGAGTTATGGTATTCCTGGTATTACAATGCATATGCATGCATACCGCTCGCATTTGATACGGCGGCGCAGAATGTCAATAAAGAAATGTAATTACGCAACGTATGATAAAGTTTTATCAACTATCAATACGCGAAGACTCATATCGGCAAGCATGATATGGATCTGCAGTCTGTCTGTAGATCATTTTCTGTGTCTAATCGCCTGACTCGCACTCTCTGCTTATAATGATACTCCTTGAGATAGCTCTTGAGTGTCTTTGGCAATTGCAGCTTGTTTATGCCATCGTACGTCGTCCGCGTGGTTATTACCGCTCTACACAGATGCTGTAGCGGAAACGCGAAATTTCGGTGCAACGGGATAGTGAGCATAGGTTCGAAAAACATACAACACGAGGGATCCTTATAATGTTCGATTAAACCACATACCTGTAAAGAGTTTACATAAACTGTGTATAAACGAATCATAATTATTCTCTGCATCTATTACTTATGAGAACAACAACTTCTAAAAACAAATACTCGTGTATACACGTTACATACTGTTTCGGAAGCGTATACTCCTGGATCGTGTGAATCGAAGCTGAATTTATGATTCCATTGTTCAATCCGCGCGTGTAACGAACGTCCATACTTTCGAAAGCTCACAGAAAACAAAAACTCCTCCTGTGCAGAGTCTCGTAACAGAAAAGTACCCTCTTGCTTGCCCTCCAATAAACGTTCCGCCTCATAACGATCCATTTTACCCCAATAAAAAGAACAAGCCGTAATTGACCTTAAGTCCGGCACGAGACAGTGGACATAATCGACCTGATATGATAAACATTTATGTGAATGATAAACATTTTGAATCACTATAAATGAAAGAGATAAATTGTATGATCAGTTGTATAATAGGACTATTACCTGTGTGTGAGCGGGTCTTTCGATATTTGGAATTAATGTAAAGTCAATTTGCGATAAAGCTGTGAGAGCGGCAGCTTGAATTCCGGCATGTGCTTGGAACAATGCCGCCAAACTGTCCACTGTTATTCCATTAGGATGAACTTGTATTCCCGTAGGATAATTAGGCTTATAACCAGGAGGAGGCTCGACACCTTCCTCCATCTCTCGAGCACGTTGAATTCGCGCGCGTTCGTCGCAATCCTTTAAAAATAAAAAAAATGTTGATTTAATTAAATTGAGTCTTTAATGTAAAAATTTTTTAAAAAGTTGTCAAAAAGAAAGAAAAAAAAAAGCAACACAAAAACATACTTCCATAGGAAATTCCTCAGGATTAAATCGCGATAAATCAATTACGGGGCTAGGTGGCAGAGGCCCGAGAACGGGACTTTGCGGAGCGGATCGACTATTAAACACGGTGCCCGCACCCATAGGATGTTCCTCGGTTCTCCTGTAACCGGTACATACACAATCTGAATTACTATTCCCTTGACCGGGAATAATGTCCGCGTTTTTGGAGCTTTTGCTTTTGGCGCAATTAAATTTCAACACCCAGTTGCTACGCTTCTTCTTTGATGATAAAACATGATTACACACTGGACTTTGATCTTTGTTACGCTGCTTATCTGACACGAACAAACATATTTTAATTAATGTCAACAAGTGATATAATTAGCACATGTATATGAAAAGAGATCAATTTAATATACATACTTTTTCTTTTTCCAAATGATAAGGTTTTTGATGATCTTCTCAATGGCGGATTTACAGGACTATCTTCGGAACTGCTACTACTGTTGCTACCACTGGAACTACTGCAGCATGCTTCCTGCTGCTGTCTAAATGACGTTTCATTAGTAACATTACCATTATTACAAACTTGCTTTGTATCCTGAGCTTCAACAGGTTGACTATACAAAGATTCGAATTTAGAATTATGGTTGTCTACATCTAAGTTTAAACAATCGTTGTCCAAATTTCCTTCTAGTTTACATTCTAGTCTGTTTGGCAGTATATTAGAGTTCATTACAGGTACATTGCCATTGGTCTCGTTTTCGGACAGACTCTCGGTGACATCTCGATTCACCATTTCTAGGGGCAATGGTTGGCTGAGCGCACTAGCGCATATCTCAGCAGGCTGTCTTTCACCATCCATTCTAAAGAACTCTCTGAGACTAGCAAAATGCTGTCCCATTATTAACTAAACTGGCAGGCATTTTATCGCCTTAATGACCCTTTTTCTAAACCATGATTGTAGAAACTACAGAAGACACATGGTGCAATCTCTCTTTACTCGATACAATGGCGATGGTAACTTTTCAGATTCTACATCCACCTAGCCATTCAGGGGATGTTACGTCAGAGAATGCAGCAAATACATCGCATTTTCACCTATACAGAAAAATAAATCAGTGTAATATTTCTATTATAAAATATGTACTTAACTGTCTATATTGTATACATCAAATATATAATGGGTATCTATATTAGTATCTAAATACAAATGATCCACATTTTTCGATATTGAAATAAATCTACGAATAATTAGATCAACGGGTGTGTCTTGACACGTTCTCGCAACCATGTCGCATTATTTCACATGCATGACAATTCTCGAAGCGAGAAAATGACAGGTCAACGCAAAACGGTGGTCATGCGAATATAAATCATAGAAATTTTGCTCACTTAATAGCAACGTGACTTGCGTAAGATCCGTGGGAAGAGACCGATATTAGAAAGTAAAAAAAAGAGAGACGATACCAGCTTCTTCTCGACAGAATGGTATATTTCCTGACAGTAGTGGCAAATAGCGAGAGACACGTTCGAACAAGTCACAAGCACGAGATAAGCGGACGATGATTCGCGACTCGAGCGCACCACCAGATTTTAACATCGCGACGACGTTCGAGCGAACGATCTTGTAGAAATTACTTCCTACCGTGACGTAATTCTTCGTGGAACATCGGAACTTAATCAATTACAATTGTCAAAACATGTTTCGACGAATCGCCAGCCATTTTCCCTAATTATGACGGGTCGCGGATCATACGTGCGAATATAGAACCGACCTATCCTTAAAAAAGTTCGCGCTTATTACTCTTGCGTAATATTAGACTGAGTCATCGAAAAGAACACCCGCATAAGATATCTTTATAGATTATAATAACTATATGATTCATATTTTCAGGAAGGGGAAAAGAATAAAATATCGGGAAAGAATCGTGTATACGAACGATTGTCTTCGCAGAAGTCACGTGAGCATATATTTCCGATAGATGCGATTGGTTGATTATCACCCGATGCACCAACCTGCGTCTTTGATGGCATAATGAACCGCGCTTTAATATTTGAATGACGAAAAAATTTGTATAGACATATATATTGATATGATTTTCAATTCAATAAAACTCAAAAAGAGAATATTGAAATAAAGAAAAGAAAGAGAGAGAAAGAGCTATACATGTATATTAAAATTAATGGCTAAAAAAAGTGTCAGTTTTAATGTGCTAAAATATTAAACATAAAATTATTATTATGGCAGATAAATTCATCTCTTTAATCTGATATCTTACGATTAAATATCGTTTTAATACAAGAATATAGAATATACCTAAATTAAGAAATGAAATAAAAGAAAAAAAATATCTCGATCCTGCCAGGATTCGAACCTGGAATCTTCTGATCCGTAGTCAGACGCGTTATCCGTTGCGCCACAGGACCACTTTCACATTGACTCTTAAAAATAATATTTTAATTATCTACATTTTATTTCATAATTATATACATACACTCAGTTTATAATTATTAAAAGTTTTAAATACTAAAACTTCAGAAACGTTTTTCATTATCATTCAAAATCATTTCATATACATATATGTATACAAAATTTCCTTATGGTGTGTTTAACTAAACTTTATGAATCTTAGCATTCTTCTCAATTTTATTATAAAAATAATTTTATAGTAACAGATTTGTTTTATGACATATTGTATATATTTTATAAATAATTCTTTAATTAAACAGGAAAGCAGTATTTATGTACAAAATATGGATTAGGATAGCTTTGTACAAAAGTAGTCTGATATGTAATATTAATATAAAAGTTGATTTTATTAACATGTTTAAAAATTAAATTGAAATGGGATTTGAGTTCTATTATCAATGATAGCTTGCTTTACATTTTGCAGTTTATGATCATCATTTGCTTGTTCTTTCAAGTCCTGTGCATCATGTTGAATGGCTTTCCTGATAAACATTGATTTTTTGTTTGCTGAGGCAGAACTTGTAAATTTGACAGCTGACACAGTTCTGCTAAGTTTTCGTTCGTCCTCAGCCATCTTCTCCCTATAGTTTCCCAATGCATTTCTCATTATTTGTCTCTTCTTTACTAATGGCGCAGTGTTACTCTTTAATGAATGTAACTGTTTGCTGAGATCTTGTGCCTGCTTATTGTGTAATTTGCCGCTAGCTAAACTCGCTTCTAATTGTTGTATACACCAACATAATTCCAATTCAAATTTATCCTCCATTTCTAGGTTCAAACCACTTGCGCTATTTGCATCTACTGCTTCAGGAAGAATACATGTTTGCGTCGCACTCTTTTTATTTTTGCTACTGCGTTTATTATTCTGAAATAAATTTTACATTCACGTTTAATGTTATCATTAATGCAATTAACTTATTTTAACAATAATACATATTTTTTTAAATCAAAATAAATTGAGGAGTCTAAATTACCGTTGATGATTTTAGTGGCATTTTTTGTCACACGATAAGATTTATTTTTCGTTTATATAATTATAAAAAAATCACAATATCATAAATTTATCTACGATTTATCTATGAAAATACACGTATTTATGTTACAGTATATGTCAAAACATAAAGGTTATGTTGCTAGTACAGAATGATAGTATTGCCATCTTTCGTACTTGGGATAAAACACATGCTTTTAATATAAAAATATAAATCAAAATGGTAGTTATCTGTATACCATCAAATTAATAATAGTAAATCAATCGTCAGAGAGAGGCGGAAAAATCAGGAAAAGTTTTAATTTCAAAAAGTTTAAATTTCAAAAAAGTTTAAATTTTAAAAAGAAAATTTTTTTCAGTAAAATGTAAGCATTAATTCTTATTTCTCGTATGATACTTTGCACTTGTTTTCAAATTACTTCTTTTGTGCGTTTTATGTTTATGCAAAATTAATTATGCGTATACGTGACTTCGCGTTTTTTTTATTTTTTTCATTGTCCAAAAAAAGTTTACAATCAGTCGTCTTCCGGTTTCAGCATCGTGTATATAATTTTAATAACGCTCGTGCCGATGGTTGTGCTGGAATAGAAAGATTATACAATTACAATTAATGCTATACGTATTGAGCGGTTTTGTGTACAATCGGTGACGGATGTATGAGAGTGAAAATTAATTACACGCGGAAATAGAAAGAAAACGTAGCGTGAAAAAGCGAGGAAAATGGAATCGGATTGTATATAAGCATGCAGAGAATAACAGAACATGAGATTATCGAGAACACGATTTATCGAGAATTTAAAAATGCAACGATATAAGAAATAAATGTAAAAAAATTGTTAACATGTTAGTAAATATAAATTTCTAATTTTCAAAATCATGTATTAAAGATTTGAAATTAAAAATAAATTTAAACATTTTGGGATAAACTCGACACATTTGAATTTTGATAAAAAGTTACCAATTTTTTAAATTATACCAATTATATGTTTTATTCCTTTATCGAAATTATATGTTTTATTCTTTAATCGAAAATTACGTATCGATAAGAGTAGAAAGAAATAGGATATAATATACTTAACAATTTAAGTGAATTAAGTTTCTAATATCGAAATTAAATTAAATATTCTTGATAAATGTGCAAAGTATATGTACAAAAAAACTTTAGAAAAAAAACAAAACTTTTAAATTTAATTTTTTTTGCAGGATAATTTTTCAGACAGACAGAAAATGAAATGTCTGTAAGACGGTTTGGTAAATAGAGAGAAAGCGATCGCAATAATGTGTAAATATAAAGTATAGTATACAGAGTATATATAGACGACAGGATGACATTAATTCTCCAGAATATATTTACAAGAGCAGTACAAAGAATAACTTGATATTACACATATATATATATTCGTTACATAGACTAACGAGTAGTAGGTATAAGCAGGTGAACAGTTTAAATATTAATTGAGGCACGTGATAATAAGGCATTTCTACAGAGGATAGACACACGGTCGTACGCACGTAAGATAGAGCGTTTCAAAGAAAAATTACATCTAAGCTATTTCTACAGAATTTACGATATAAGCCAAATAATATACTTATATTCATTGATTTTTATAATAAAATATTATAAAATAATTTCCTCTTCTATTTTCTCTCTGCGAATAATTGCTTACGAAATTTTTTTAACTTAATCTATCCCAAGGAGAACACAAAAGTCAAAATTATATCAATTTTATATTATGATTGACTAAATTTATGTTTTGGTCAAATGACATTACCTTGACTTTTTGTTCCTTTTGGTGTACTATGAAGATATTTTTAAAAAATAAGTTTCTATGCCTCTTTCCAACATATAGAGATCGATTTGCATCAGTTAAATAAAATTCCAATTAGTAAGCTAATGTTGGACTAGTGAATTGTTGTCTTTCTGAAAATTATAATGCTATAATCAATAAAGAAACAATTCTGGTAATACAACATTTAAAGATATTTTTAAGTTAAATCTTTGAGACATTTTTGTTTTTGCGTTGCTTAAGAATTATCTAAGTAAAATTATTACTTGCAGAATACACCTCGTTCGAATAATAACAAAAGATTAAAAGTACAAGTATAAAGAAAAAACACGAACGTGCAAACGCTTTTCCAAAACACATTCTATGTGTATTTAAGTACGGACAATATTTTCTAGTATATCAATAAGATATGTCTATTCGCAGTTTGCCTTCGATCCTTATCGAAGAAATCAACTCTTATTCTTCTTCGTCTATCTTACGTGTTTACAATCGTTGCAATTACATTAGTGGACGTCACAATGAAGATTGATATTCAGTGCAAACCAATTGTGCTACACTGAATAACATACCGATTTTTATCTTAAAGTGTGTGTATGTGTGTGTGTATGTATGTGTGTATATGTATGTTGTGCACAGACGTGGTCGAGATCCCTAAAGTTTAGAACACGTAGCTAACTGTCCATTTGACTGTCCAGAGAAGAAAGGATGAGTCAAAGATTGAAGAACACATTATGTACATTATGTGGAAGTCATCAACATAGCTCAATTAATGAATAAAACAAAAGAAAAAAATATCTCTATGCTTGATCTGTTTCTTCTCGTTAGAATGATCTGTTAGATAATATATAATGCGCAATCTTACTGATATAGACATTTAACAGATAAAAACATAATTACGTATATTGCACGGTCCAGGTTTATATGTATATAAGTACAAGATTTTATATATATATAAATTTTCTATATAACGTAAAATAGAATTTTCCAAGCTTTGATATGTGATTAGATGATGATGTAAAATTTAACATAAAAATGCATTGATTCCGCAAAATTGCAAATATTCAAAAAACCAATAATACATTCTTTGTAATTTTTTCTATCGTTATAAATGTATATTTCTATAAATATGTCCAAAATTTCGAATCATATGGCGTATAATTTTCGTACTACGAAGTATGTAACATAATCCTATACATACGTCATCAAAGTCACTTGCAAAAAATTTACAATCGCACGCTGAGCCAAGTTATTTATTAAAATGCAATTATCGATAAAAAAAAATTGTCACGCGTTAAGCATTTCAATATCTTGTCTTATTTCTTTTCGAGATACAGAATTTCATTTTAACCAAATTATTATTCGTAGAATTGTCAGTGTTACAAAAATATCATAGTTTATGTTAAAAATATATTACAAATTTTCTTTTGAGGAAAAAATTGCACAAAACATGTATTAATATAAATAAAGATCATATATAATAGTATATGAAATTATATCGATTAATAGATAATAATTGAACATACATTAAAGTAAAGAAAATAAATATAGGTAAAAAATTTATTTTTTAACCGTAAAATCGGAGATTCCTCTAATAAATTAAAATGTCAGTATGGGAAAACATCTGATACTGCATGTTATACTATTAATCATCATCATCAAGTAATATTGACTATTAATTTTATAATTATTTTTAATTATTATATTTTTGCTGCATAAATATGAGATTAGATATATTTCGATTATTATTTATAGAGATAGTTGCCTGCTCTGGGTTTGAAGCATAATAAAGTTATTTTAATAAACAATAAATCATATATATGATAAGAGAGATTTTAAAGAAAACACAATATAATTGATGTAAAACACAGCGAAATTCTCACATGTTAACAATGTTATACAGTTAGTTGAGAAAAAAATTACTCGAATGATATTTAGCATTATGTATTAACAAGCAACATTTCTATGATAAAAAACTAATCGAGTAAGCGTGTAATGCTACATATGTCAAATTAGAAAAATATCGCACAAGTTCTCGATGATACAAATAATCGCGAAATAAATCCATAACGGATGCATGCGAACAACTATTACGATTTCACGAGAAACAATTTCAACGATTTCTCTCTCTTGTTAAAGTATAAATAATAATAATAATACATAATAGTATACAGAATGAATTCATATCCTCTACACGTACACAAATTACAAGTCGAGCGTTGAAAAAAGCTACATAGGTGGACATATATGTGGAATAATACTAAAATAAAATACTGCCAAATGTAAAAACCAAGTAAAATGTATATATTCTATGGGCAACATCGTAATAATCATATTCATTATGCTGATACACTGAAATAACCACAATGTGTATGTGTTTTACAATGTTGTATGTATGTGTGATGTACACAGAGCGTTATCAAATAATCATTATTTATCGCTAACTCTGAGACGATGATGATTATACTGACCACAATAATAGGCGATATGGTAGCATGGTCATACAGATTCGATAATAATAAACGTATAACAATAACTAGGTAAAATGTCGAGCACCAAGGATATATAACGTACAAATGAGGAGATTGTTTAATTCCGCCTCCTTTTACGAGAGTGTTTAACGCACACTCAAGTACTATTTGTGTCTGGCATTGAATGTGCATAAAAGGAGATAAAGTATGTCTTGAAAAGATTTTAGCACATGAAATATCTCTCAATGGCTTCGTACTTATGTAACAAACTTGGCAAACATCATTAATTATTATTATTACAAACATAAACCGAGTCTTTGTCTTGTAACGTTTTGTAAGTATTTCTTTTCCTCAAATATTCTCTAGTACGATATACTCTCTACTTAAAACGTAAAATCGGTATTCTCTTAATTAGTCAGTTACGATGGCACTATATGAATTACTTTCCTTTATTCTCGCAATTATCAGCTAACATAACGCACGACTATAATATTGTGTGTATGTCATTACTCTCTATTACATATTATATAATAATTTTTATACATATATATCCACATATGCATACATTCCAGTATGCACGATGCAAATCTGTTGTGTATGCGTGTACATGTGTGTGTTTGTATATGTGTAAATATACATTTTCGGTTAAAATTTATACATTGTACAATGTGTAACTGCGGTTTGAAATTATTAATCGTAATAGTACGATACGCAATTTGAGGAATTGTTAAACACAACCTCTCTCTTTTAAACTGTATTATACAAATATATGTGTATATGCTACATAATAATAATAATGTTTAAAGTATGTCTCCCTTTCCTCTTTCTTTCTCCCGATCACACATACTTTATCTGTTTACAGAGTGCATTTCAAAACTAAGCGAGAAAAAATCAACATGATAACAATACGTTAAAAAATATATATGTAAAAGATCCTATAACTTTTGGTGTAATTATGTACGTATCAAACAGGCTATACCGTTTTCGTGTATAGTTTCAAAATGCACAAATATAGATAGTAACAGTAAAATGACGTTATTGTTATGACGTTTAAAAATGTGATGCTACTTGGCTTTACAGATATGTCCAATACTTAAATCTGTATTAAACTCTTAATTGTACATGTATATATATATATATATATATATATATATATATATATATATATGTATATATATATATTTATTTATTTATTTGTGGTGACAACAGTTGTGGCTAGTACATATACATTTTATATTTTATTTACTACATTGTTACAGTGATTTCTGGTACTTGTGCCATGTGCATTGCAATTCGATTATTTGCGAACATTTGCCTAAAGCCTATGATGGCTTTGCTCCAAAACAATCTTAGCTTACGTTGCAATATAAAACGTCTAATCATCCGTAGATCTCGTTTATCTTACGCGCATGGCTTCTCTAACGATGGTCCATTTCGTTCACAGCATTCCAACAATTTCAATAGTCTCTGAGTTTTTAACTACAATAATTATCATTATTTTTTTTACGTATTGAATATCCGTCGAAATCTTGAGGCACAACTATACGATCGTAATTCACGTAACTAAAGAGTATTTAGAATATACAATGTATCATAATCTTTCATAGATAATAGATATACAAATTAATATAATTTTATATAAATGAAGAATGCTTTAAATTATCCAAATATGCCAAGTAAAAAAGAAAAACTATCTTAGGAAAATACAGTTTCTTGAATCACCGGGAAAATTTACCGGGTAAATTTCTTTTAAAATTATTTATATATTTTCTTTTCATTATATATTCCAAATGATTTTAAAATAGTTTCGAAATATTTATAAGTCTGATACAATCACAGGGTTTTTTTAAATCTTCATTCTATTCGATAACGTTGATAACAATATATATCTTTTGTCATTAGTTGTGCCGATCAAGACGAATACATCTTTAATTACATCAACGTATTTTTTTTCTCACAGATATATATATGTATATATATATATATAACTTACATGTATTCCATATTAAAAATATACATTGAAGTGTACGTACATGTACTTAACGTACATTTAACAAATTGTCTATTCCTTATGGGTTTCGCTATGCATCATCTTATTACTGTATGTTATGGTAAAATAGATCAGATAGCACATATAAACCTTGCATATAAAGTACTGCTCATGCTTTTCACATCACACTGCGACTGTTATACAAGTGTTGACGTTGGAACATCCAAATGATCTTATTGTTAGATGGACTATTATGCAGAAAGATCGTATCAGTTTCAATATCACAATAGGGCATTTTGGAGAAAGAATTAACAAGTTTTGGATTCTCGTGTAGCGTTCTGTCGAGATCATTTAAATTACATTTTGTATAAGATAAATATAGAGAAATTTTAATATTAAATGCGATATGCCAATACAAAATTGAAATTTTAACGTTTTTTTACCTTTATATCTAAAGTTAAAAAAAAGAAACGCCACAATAGAGAATATAATATTCCTGACAAAATGTTAAGAAACTGCATTTAACCATGTTCCCATTTAACATATTAATCAAATGCATGTCATTTAAATGTAATATCAAGTTTTAAAATATAAATTTGCAAGCATTTAAATGTGAATCAAATATATGTGATTATCTTTTTTGTAATATATGAATAGAATATATTATAATTAAATATCAATTAAATATAATAAATTTTGTGTCAATAGGAAAAGTTTAATAACTAGTGGAGACATTAATATATGTATATATATATCTTTAATACATTAAATTTTACTTCTTTGTTATGAAAAATAACAATTTCTTTATATTTTTTTTATTTGATAAAAAAGTGAGTTGGCTAAGAGATTGCACTTTGTGATCATTTTAAAAATTCGTGATTAAAATTAGTGACTATACGCATTACGCTTTCCGCATACCGATTATTCGTACAGTCATATGAAACATTTCTAATATGCGTTAATAAAGAAAATGAATATATCGAGGGTTATATGTATATCACTGTACAACCTTCGATTACAATACAGAGGTTGCCTTCCCATGCTATTTGTCAAAAAGTCACATTATAAAGCTTACAACATCATATATTGTTTTCTCATATTATGTATATATATATATATGTCGCACTTAAGTAGAGTTTATTATTTTCAAGACTTTATTAACAAATTGTACTGCATATACGATTTGGGAAAGCATCCTAACAGGAGGGCCACAAATGGTGCCAGGCACTATTCATTCATATACCTGCGTATTCCATTAGTATGTTAATTACAATAATTTATCAAATACAACTCTCGAGAGAGAGAGAGCGATTCTCACCAGGATACATCCTGAGATTGTAAAACATACATTGAAATCATCTTGACACATTTTCATTTCACTGATTTTTAGGAAGAAGATAATTCTATGTCATTACACAATTGCAACCCTGTTTTGCCAAATATTAAGTTTACGGTTGTATTAGCCAAAAAGCTATTGAGTCTTTCTGATATGAAATGAATAATCTCTTTCATAATAAATTCTTGTATATCACAGAACAGATTTGTATACGATGAAAAATTTCTTTGTTCTTAAACAAATCGTTCCATGTTTTATATATGGTTATTTTTTTTTGTGAAAAACTTTGTTTATATTAAAAAAAACTACAAGTTACATAAAATTGATCAAATATACACATAAACCATTTTATAAACCATTTTTATTTTTGTAGAGATATAATTTCGGTTTCCATAAAAATTTACGATTAAAGTTATTAATATTAGTATCACTCAATCCTCCTTACAATAAGTTTTGTTTAATCACATTTTTTAATACATGGCATATAAACTCTCGTTTACACATTTTTAGGCTTTAAGGGTTGCAAAGTTCTTACAAGCTTTCTTCCTCCACAATTTTTCTTTATACAAATGTGCAAAATACTTGTGGAAAATGTATATAACGTGTGATATATGTACATACATACATACATACATACATACATATACATATGTGTATGTATGTATATATCTGTATGCGCGCTGTGTGTATATCTTTTTTTATTAATCAACACTATATATAATATGCCTATCTATCTATCTCGTATTACCTCATAACTCAATATATATTAATTTCGAATCTTGTTCTATAGAATATCATGAATAATTTTAGTACAGCAGCGAATTTCCACATGTTTGGGAAGTTAGCCATAAACTGTTAATAAATTCACGTCAGCAGTAAAATCAACTGATTGATTAATAAAAAGAGAAATAAAAATTTTAATGTTATAAAAATTTAAAAATGAAATAAAATATAAAATCATTTCAATAATAAGTTTTATGATCAAATAAAAAATAGAGAAGAGAGAGAGCTTGCTACATTAAACATATCTTCCTCAAATTATTTAAAAAAATAAATAATTGTTGCATAAACATAGTACATTATTGTATAATTTTACAATGATCATATATTAACAGATTATGGCATAGATTCTGACTACTATACCGTAAAAAACAACAACGAATTATAATGATAAAAGTTTTCTGGTCTTTATAAATCTTACACTACGTGCAGATTTCTTCACAAGCTCTTTTAGATTCTCAGAATTACACTTTCAGAAATTTCACAATTGGGTACTGCGTTATTATTCTCTAAAACATACTGTTTCCCTTCGCATAGATTTTCATACGATAAGCATCGTTGGACATAATGCCATATCGCGAAAGTTATTACGAATTTTATGACATATATACAAACAACACTTCATATTATATACATGAAAATATATATATATGTATCTATCATATATATATAATATATATATATAAAGTTTCAACATTATGGCACCTTATTTTCTTTTTTTTTTTTTCTCTTCAAATAAATGTATATTCTGTGTGTGTCAGCTTCAAAATATAAACAGATTTTTTCACTCCGCGCTAACTATGGCGGGGAAACATACCATCCCCACAACTATCGTTATCGCGATAGTACACATGTCTCAAATACGTTTTAAAAGGAGTTTGTTTTTAATTATACTGGAACTCACAAGCACTATATATGCCGTTGTACGTCGAGGAGGTATCAAACAACTGATGAGTGCAACAATTCAATCGACATTAAGTCGCCCAACCCTCCGTGATTCTCGAGCGCTTCATGAGCGGTCCGTTCTCGTAGTCGGAACTATTCCCTCCATTTCCGCCGCCACCGCTAGAATGGTTCGTTCTAATGTCACCAACCGTACCACTACCCGGGGATGTCGGCGTTATGCTACCATGGGACGGAGGTGGATTACTACTCGGTCTGCTTGATACTAAGTTCAGTGTTTGAGGGCCCCCCGGATGGGACACGTGATGCGGCGGCGGGGCACCGGTACTGGACGAAGGACCAACGTTCAAGCTCGTATGATGTACATTGCTAGGTCCGCCATTGGACCCGCTATTACCTCCATGCGGATCTCTGGGTGGACTTATCGGTTCACTTTTTATCTTTACGGGTAATGGCGATGTGGATGGTGGTGGTGTACTGCTTGATACAGCTAGGTGAGGAAGACCACTGTAATGTCGAATAAGTTTTGTAATATTAAGAAAATAGAAAACACAATAAATGCTTAGAATTTAAAAATGAAAGTGTTGTATGCGAATGCTCTTGTAATATAATCATTTAAACGAGCAGAAGCTATAATTAATCCTGATTTTGTTTTCTAATATTACATCTACTTGTGATTATGTTGATAAAGTCTAAATGAAATTACTCAAACAATGATGCAAATCAAGAAAATGTACCTTTGATAAAATGTATGCATTGTGACATAACAATTTTTAATTTAACTATGCAAACAACATAAATATTTATAAATGAAAATGAATATACCCAACATTCGCAATGTAATGTATGATATGTCAAACTAAAGCACCGAAAAAAAACTATAACGCTCCAGTAGTTGAGATATGTCATTATTCTTTATCAGCAATAAATAGAATAAAGCATATAAATATTATTCCATTAAATAATATATAATATAAATTAAAAATAAAAATAAGCAAGGAAAAAAAAACAGATTATATAACATATAAAAAATTATAAAAATAAAAATGAGAAAAAAGGAGATAATGCTAAATCTGAATTTATTGAATGTTTACTGTAATATACATAGATATGTATCTTTTATATATTTAAATTTATTTTATTTAATCTATATTTAAACATGTATATTTTATATTTATTTTATTTATATTTTATCTCTAAAATATGTATATATCATTATTATATATCAACTAGTATGAAGAAAATAACTATTAAAAGTCATACCAACTGGATATATAGTTTTTTTTTACAACAATAATTATGAAATGTGATTTACCTGATGCTGGACATGGTGGCTGCCGAATACATTGATAAGTCATCAACGTACCTCTGATGAGACCATGCAAGGCTCCCGAGATCCGAAGAGTAGTCTGTTGGTCCAAAACTAGAGTATCCGGCTGGTACTGTTGGTGTTTGTAACGCTACCACCGGTGTATTCAATGCGGATTGCGTATGGGCATTCTGAAAGTAAGTAAAGGCGCAATTTATCATAAATTTAAAAGTAATTTAAATTTAAAAGTTTACCAGCTAAAACATAGAGAATTTCTTTTCTTATTTTAAAAATATCATTGAGATAAAAGAGAGAATTATTTCTTTAAATGCTTCTTTTAAAATTTAATTCCCAATTTTGTATCTTTATTTTAAATTGAAAATATCTTTTTAATTCATATATAGAAAAATCATATAGAAAAATTTGAATGCTTACGAAACAAAAGATAAAATATGCTTCTCAAAAATCAAATTAATTCTGCTGTTTGAAAATCTCTTAATTTTAATTATTAGTAACAGAATACTAATCGTATAACATTAAAATTAAGAAATTTTCAAAAAGTAGAATTGATTAGTTTTTTTAGCTTCATATTATGATCACGCTATCATTATTTATGTAGCATTTAAAACTAATAATGGCAAGACAATTACATCGTAATTAGTGTCTTCGGAGAGAGGTTGTGTGAGCGGTGTTGGTATAACCACTCGAAGGTTAGCCCTGTGAGGATGGGGCGGTGGTGGTGGCAGTTGCGGGGGTTGCGGCGAATGCCTAGGCGGATTGCTGCCTTTATTTCCGCTACCTCCACCGACCCCGAGCGATGGCGTAGGTCCTGGACTAGACGAACCATCCACTGGTGACGCTGACTGATAACCGTTGCTCATGTCCAACATTCCTCCCGGATACGCTATATAGCGAAGAATTATACATGTTAGATGTACAAATTTCACGCGAAAATGTCAGGAATTTGCTCCCTTTCGGCTTTCTGTCTCTAATTAAAGCTACCTGGATCCGTCTCGGACGATGACGGACGTGGAGAGATGCTGGTATGTGCCATCTGTGGACTAGATCCAAGGAGAGATTCGCCGTAACTGTTCACTGGTACAGATACTGGTAGCGTGTAATTCGATTGTCCCATTGTCTGCAATCACAACCGACATAATGTAAATTAATAATACCTGCAGCAAAGATAGATACAAGTACTACTGGGAGCAATTTATAGCAAATTTGCAATTTGCTAATGAGTACCGTTTTGCTACAACTTTATATAACATAATGAAATATGTATGTACATATAAATTCATACTCAATTCTTTTTTTAGGTATAGCAATATGAAAATGAAAATATAAAGATAATTATAAGTATAAGCAATCAAGTAATAAAAATAATTTTTATATTTAAATACTTTAATATTTATAATAATATACTTTATTTATTTTTTCAACTATAACTTTTTAATTTTATTATATGTGTATACTTTAAATAATAAAATGCTTAATAATTATTTTAATATTTGTTACGTACATACACAAAAATTTGTTATGAGAAGTTGGAAAATGATATTTTCTCTTATCTTATTTTTCTCTGTAGAAAAATGAGTACAAAAATAAATCGCAAACTGCATTTAAAAGAATCGATTTGTACCTTATATATATATATATATATATATATATATATATATATATATATATATATATATATGACAGATCTCGTAATAAAATGTTAAATAAATGATATATTCACATGTCAGTCATTTGGATAAAAATGAATTTAAAAAATTAACTTGTTTGGATAATCCTAATATAAATGGAACCAAATGAGAGTTTAGTATTTCTGATGCGACATTTTGAGACCTGGAAATCGTTATATAAAAAGATTCAAGTACTACATCTTTCTTTTTGTAATATGAAAATATTATATCGTTGTTCGACATGCATCGCGAGTTTCATATAATAAAAGAAGAAAAATAATTTTTGCATAGATATAAATTTTCCGACTGACATTTGAAACTTGATATTTACCCTGCTGCCATTGTGTTGATGCCTCTGCATCATCATCTGAAATTCTTCGTCGATCTTGGTGTATTTGGCCTCGGTGCGCGGGGTAAGATTGTATTCGATTGCGTCAGGTTCCGGGCTCTCCGGAGACATGGCACCCTTATGCTCCTTCTTGTTGAGCGCCTGCAAGTGTCAGCAGACAGGTTCACGTGACCACACCGCCCGAGGGCACTCAACCTTCACATGCACATTAATTTAACACCAAGCACGTGTGTGTGCGTGCTTTTCTTATTCCATACCCGGTTTATCCAACGCAATTATGTTCGTGCAAGAAAGAAGGAAAAAAACGAGATCGCATCTCGCTCTCTCATCAAAACGAGACTGTATCCAATAAATGTAATACGTACAAGACGCATGATTATTTAAAATGGCAATTCCTTGTAAGATTTGTTAACGTTTACCAAATCTCAAGTAAAATTTAGAAAAAAATATATGCTAAGAAACTAATTATCTTAAGAAAATTGTTTGATCATTCAACATTACTTTAAGTTAATTTAAAATAGCAACTTAATTTGTATGCACGAATCTTCTACGATATAACATGCTAATTACATACTATATTTTTTAAAAACATTGCATATTTTACATTTTCTTTCAATTATTGATTTAAAAAGAATATCTTCATATCTAAATAGAACAAATTATAAAATTTTAAATCAAATTATATATATGTGTTTGTGTAAAAATCACTTACAAGTGAATTAAAATTGGTCTCATCTATTTGTATTCTTTAAAATTTAATTTTTATTATATTTCTCGAGAGAATTCTAAATAATTTGCAAGAATACATAGTTCAAATATATATTTATATATTTTATTATATATATTTATATATATATTTATATATTTTAAAGCATTGACACACAATTGACAATTTTTTCATGTTTATTTTTATCATTCAAATTCCTTTAATATATCCCGTATATTCGATATCATTGCATATCTATGATCTTGACATATCTGGAAATCGCAAACATTTCCTTAATCGGGATTCTAACGAAAAGATGTATTTCACAAAAAATTAGCGATGACTGGCAATGTTTTTTGGCGAGGATTCGATTCACGTTAGCGCGCATCCTCATTTTGTCCTGAGAATCCGTAACGGATAAATGGACTCACCTCGATGATATTCTTGTTGGTGAGGGACTCGTGGGGTTCGTTGTACTCGGTGTACTTGAGGAGAACCTTGTCCATGTCGGTGCTTGCATACTGGTACAGCTTGTTGCTCGAACTGAAGATAATCAGCGCAATCTCGCAATCGCACAGTACCGATAATTCGTACGCCTTCTTCATCACGCCGAATTTCCTCTTGTTAAAGGTCACCTGTCGCATTTAAAAGGAGAGAGGGACGCATTGAAGGTGAACTTCAGCAAGATCTTAAGCTTTCAAGACTATTAAAAAGATAGACCGCATACGGCGAATATTTCACATTTGTAACCATTAATTTATTCCTCTCATCGTCTTAATTGCCTAATCAGTCATGTTACATAAGATTATATCAATAAGTATGAAAAATTCATCTGGAGAGTATATTTTTTTTTTTTTTAAATGTACATATTTATAGAAAATATACATATCATTTTGTATATTTTATTCATATATAATATCAGTTTTATAAAACTAATATTATATTCTGTTATTTATGCATGTCTATTTCATGTAAAAAAGTGAGAAAGTTGTATCAAAAAGTCTATTTAAAATATTGATATACAGTACCGGCTAGAATTATATCACATTTTGATTTTTTGAGTATAACTTTCGTCAAAGTGCATCGAATGCGCTAAATATTTTACAGTTGTTTTCATTAATTTATGAAAAGTTATTTTTTCAATAAGCTATACTTACTATCAAAACATGTAATGATTTGATAAAGATCCGTGCACTTTAAAACAAGTTATACTCAAAAAACCAAAATGTGATATAATTTTGGTCGGTACTGTACATGTATGATAATGGAATCCTTTTAACATTTTTTTGTAAAAATCAAACGCAAAAGATCTTTACAGTTTGCATCTACTTAAAACTAACAATAATTGCATTGACTAAATAAGAGGCATTTATTGTCTAGAATTACCTGACGGTTCCGTTCGTCCGTGATACGTGAAATCTGAATCTTTTTTCGACCCATTGTGACACCACGTCTTGGATATGAGACAAGTCTTTAAAATCACTGGATGGAATCTTAAGAACACTGTAACAGAAAAAGGAATATTCATTGAGAATTTGGGACTATAAAGTTTTAATTTACAACAAACTATATACATAATATAATAAACAAAATAAAACTTTTATTTTTTTTGCGCAATTTTTCTGCTTTATTTATAGAGCAAAAGAACACGTCATCACAATATATTTAAAATAATAAATAAAATACGGCTTCGACTTTTTATTAAGTGCACAGTTTGAAAAGAATGTATAAAGATCTGTACGAGCAATATTTTTTTTTAAGGAAAAAGTTACATCAGCCGATAAAGAGCTGGTTTTAAAACAAATCTCGCTGCCGGCTTCTGGATTTAACGTGTTTCACGCATAACGCGAGCGTTATGGGTGAAAATAATAAGCACGATAATAAGACAAACACGACAGTGCGGAGAGCGACAGAACTGGACCGCGCTTTAAAACCTAATATTCAATGGAAACTCTCTCGCGCGCGCGTGTCACTTTCATATATCGATTCCGGTGCCGTGCGTACGAGAGAACAAGTTCGCAAAGCGCCGCATGTGCTTCAGAGCCTACGGACCGGCAAACAAAGTGTCGAATCGTTTACCACTGCGAGATTGCAGCTTTCAAGCGGAATAAAAGGGAACGATGTCATGTGTAACGTTGCGTTGTGTGTGTGTGTGAGACAGAATGTGTTTTCAATTGGAATTGATAATTGAGCAGTACAGAAAAGCGAGCTAATTCGTGTGCAACTGTAAATTTTTAACTAACGTAGTGCAAGTTAAAATAAACGTAATGCCTCTTTATTTCGCAGCATTCTGCTCGAGAGAGAGAGAAAATATTTATCTTGGAAAAAGAAACTCACGCTATAAGAAAATTAGTTTTAGCGAGATAATAATTAAGGTCAGATATTGTAAAAAAAATTCTCAAGATAAGAATAGGTTTTTACAAAGAAGGAGGAGACGCCTCAAGTATCGAGAGCTAGAACTTCGCACTTTAAACTATGTATGAGGCACTTAAATAAAAAAAAAGTTGATGAAAAACTCATTTTTAATATAATTTGTTTTCCACCAAGCAGTAGAATTTTAATTGCATTTACACTCTCCTTCCGTTGAAGTTTTAGTCGCTATACATTTAAGTGTTTTAATTTCAATATTTTTAATCTAAGTATATTAAGTATATTAAATTGATCATTCATTTATTGTTAATAAAAAATAAAATTTTACATCCTTGAAACTATTGTCTTTTTCTCGCTATTTCATATAAAATTGTTAACTTTATCAATTTTCGATGTATCATATAAAAGACGAGACATTGACATTATTATTGCAATATATTCTCCAAAATCGCAATGATAAGCAATCGAAAATGTTGATAAATGAAAAGATATGGCTCTGCAGTATATTACTTTATTATGTAATACTATATAAATACGGGACTATATGAGATATATACGATATGCGGTGTAAAATTAGACACAAATGCGACCGAATTAAATATTTCGGGCCCACAAATAAATCGCTAGTGTTGAAGAGGAGGGAAACTAATTTAAATCGATGAGTGTTTCTAAGAGAGAAAAATTAACTCTGTGGGTCAACGAATTCGCATATCGTGGATATAAATTGTGATATCAACCCTTTCCACATGTGTGTTTTTTTCTTTTTTTGACAATTTAAATTTTAATTAATTTGATTCTTTTTAGATAAGTATATCTCATCAAAGAACATAATTTTTGAGATTCATTAAAAAAAAGTGAAAAATTTATATATCAAGACTCTTTAGAGATTTATTAAATAAATATAGACTTAATTCAATAAATATTAAATGGGGTTGAATGTAAAAAGATTTTTAAAGTCTCATTAATCGCTTGCTTTGCTATCCGTGATAACTCGTTTTGCAGATACGCATATAAAAATGTTATTCTAAGAGATAAGGAGATAATTAAATTTTCTCGTGAAATTAACAATAAATAACACGAAAAAGGTAGAAGAAGAATATAATAAGTAGAATATTCTCAAAAAATAAATCTAACTTAAATTACTAATCCTTGAGAATCTGATGCCAAATCTCTTCTAAAGAAAACTACTGAGAAACATCATTTATCACAATTTTCGAAACTTCAAAATCTTAATTTTAAATTTAAATTTCAAATTAATTTATTTTAAGACTTATTCTACTAAATTTTTAATTAATTTATTCAATTCTTATTCTACTAAAATCTCTTTCGAATTAATATTATTTATTCGCTTATTCTAAAGTTTAATTTGAGAAACCTACAACTGCCGATATTTTCACTAAGAATACAAAAAAAAATATCTGTCTCGTGTTTTCATTTTGCAGTTAAGAATTTATAATAGAAATATGATTTGAAAAGCTTCTCTCTCTCGTCGAGTCGTTCACGCGAACTGTCGAAAGAGCCCGAGGCAACGCGTATCATCTCGTGGCGGCAGTATCGAATTAAAAAGAGCTTATCTTTCCTCCCGCGACGTAAAACGATACAGCAACGCGTAAGAGGAATCAACGAGGCGAAAAGTTTCGCGAGGAGCAACCGCGCAAAAATTCGACACGCTAGTCGACAATGATTCACTGCGTGTTATTCAAATTGTTTTCGTTGGGATCTTGCCTGTAACAAGTGCGCGAGGATGCGAAATGTACCGAAACACTCGTCGCGTCTGCAATCTTATTATCGGCAATTGACACGGCAAACGTCGCGCGTTTGTTCATCTTTGACACGCACGATTATCAATTCATTTGCGAATGACAAAGTTGCACACATGCATGAACCCAATATTTTTTCCAAAAAAGAAAAAACTTCAATCCTACGCCGCGTTTATTAACGGTCATTTCTTTCGTCAATAATAACATATTTTTGATGAAACGTGAAATTTAAAAATGTCAGAGTCGACAGAGCTATATGGCATTTTAAAAATAAAAATGGGTCGAATGGAACAGTGTGTCAGAGCTGACGAAATTTAATACGTTAACTTCATATTTATAATAATATCGAAGATGTGTGGATTTTGGGATGAAAAATAAAAAGCAGGACATGAACCCGATTCCGTTCTTTAAGTGATTAAAATGGAAGCGGCGCTTATGTCAGTCAAAATTTTTAATTAAAATGTCGGAAAAAAATGGTGACGTTTAAATATATTTGCGTTAAAAGAAGTGTATTAATATCTTTTAAAGAATTTAATCAAAATGTACACGCGAATAATAAATAAGACGTCCACAATTTATTGCGATCATGAAGAGAGATATTTCAAAGGAAATAACTGCGATTTTGTATATTATATTATAAATGAGATGAATGAGATAAAATCAATCTTTCTTCCTACAATGTTCGTAAAGCACTGGTGCTTAAGTAATTAAAGTAATTAGAGGAGCCTCTGTATTCTCGTATACGCAGTATGCTACGATCGGCAGTGACGTCAGCTGAGAAATAGAAAGCGATTCCTTTATCTCTTGCAACCATATGCCGTATTGAAGCAGATAGCGTTAATTGCTTCGATCCATCGTTAACGCGGTGAAAATGTAACGGTGAAATGCGATTCCTTCCCCTCTGTTCCTCCAACCCCCGAGAGAAAAGCTCGTAGGCGCCTTACTCGATGATTTATAATACTTGGCCGACGTAATTCCTAGATTTGAATCAAAGAGATTTTATATCTCTATTCAGTTTGTTTCGTTGCAGAGAATTCCAAGAATTCATGTTTACAAATAGTTATTGTTATTAAAAACGGGTCAATTTACGAAGAATTTAAGCAAAGATATCGACAATATGAAATTTTATATCTTACAGTCAATTCAATTTTTTACTGTATTTTGCGTAATGACTCGCTATTTGTATAATATTATTCGATTACAAGACTAATTTTCGGATATTTATCGTAATAGATACATATAAGAAGGCATTTTAAATACGAGAATCCATATTTTTTTCTATCGAAATTAGATTCATGAGAAAGATTCGACGGGCAAGCAACGCATGTCTCTTGATAAAGGAGGCGATTATTACTCCAGTGCCATTACCGTGTCCTGAATATGTAAAACACGGTACCTACTGTGTCCTAAATGCGAAATACACGATCGATGCGGCAGGTACATTCCTATATACATATAGGCTGCTCGAAACTTTCTCTCTTTTAATAGTTAAAGACTTCCCTTGTGTCCCGTTTAAAACAAACGGCATAATTGCGCATAACTAACGAGACAAAAATTTGAGTAAGGATTCCCAGAGACATATGTGTACAATCGCAAATAAAACAACGAAAAGCCTATCGAAATAAATAAATAAATTAAAACCTATCGAAATAAGATTATTATAAAACTACTGTAACTTTATATGTCATAAATATATTTTATTTTCAATTAAAATAGAACGATTAGCATTCAAAATACCAAGTATATACGACTAAAATGTGCATAATAAATTTAAAAACGCCCGCTATTTTTCATGCATATTTTATTTTACACGTGATAGAAACACATAAAATTAATGAGAGTTTATTAGAGATTTTACATGTATATTAAAATATATTTGCACACTCTGCATGGTTTTGACAAAATGAGATCTCTTGTGATATTCAAAACATATGCAAAATGAATGCTCGAGAATCAAAGTAAGACAACTCTGCGATATTATGTAGAGATTCGACTTATTATCTATTGTGCAACTTACTGGCCGATTAAGTATTCAGTTGGCAATGCTCAAGAATTTTATCTCTATTGATACGAATGAATCGCGGCGAAGGTCAGAAAGGCGCGCCAGTGAAAGGATTTTTGAAGTTTGTGAAAAAATATAAATATTCGCGAGACTGGAAAGATACGGGCACGGTATAAATATGGCACGTGTCTGTATAATTTCACTGCTAAATGATATTACTATGCAAACGGTCGGAGAAATAACGACGCGAGTATATAATGTAGTCGCTGATAACAATAAGATGTTAGGTGTACGTTGAATGGTATTTTTTATTTCGTTCACATTTTTTTCCTGCATGCACTTAAAGATTCCCAAGAACCGTTAACAAAAAA